TTGTTGTATACGCGCACACTCGCGTGTAAAATTACGTTCACGCGTGTGGACACTCGCGTGTGGGCGAACTAGGTGTATCCCCACGTTGTTGGTCCGCCGATTCCGCGGTATGTGTTTCAGAAGGTCCTCAAGCTGTCTCTCGCACCACGCCAATGAACTGAATCGATATACAGGAGACTTTATGACGCAGAACATGAGCAGGAATTTATCACGGAGCTCTTTTATCTCTCCAGTAAGTTTCGCAAGTCAAATCAATGTAATCACTCCGAAAGCTTAATCAAAGCATTAATCTTAGGAATGTTAAACATTCAGCGGTAACAACTACAGAGGTTTGCGAGCACTTCTTTCTTCCTTTCTTCTCTAAGAGATAATCTTCTTTAAGTATTATCCTCTCCAAACATTTGAATCTCTCTCTTCTCTCTCTCTCTCTCTCTCTCTCTCTCTCTCAGCCCAATCTCCGCTGGCCCTACTCTTGGAATGGTTTCGATGAAGAGTTCTTTGAGAGGGAACAGGCCTGAGAGCGAGAAGGTTCCCGCGAGAGTCGACGAGCTCCCCAAAACGTGTCTACCTACCGAAGGACGCGGGCCCAAGAAATTTTTTCGTTCCCCTTTTCTGTGATTAACCCTTAGGTAGGGAGAGAAATTGCTCCGTTCTTAGACCACTAGTCGGGAATGCGAAGCACGCGATGCGTTCTATGGTATAGTCGATCAGTTTGATATACGAAATTATTTATTTCTTTATTAAAATAGATTAAACATTATCGCGACTTATGACAAGTATTCTAGCGATTTAATTTTCCTACAATTTTAATTCGATTAAATTCGATTAGTGTATTTTACTATAAAAGTCTGAGAAACCCCTGTCATTTTATATTTGATAATTTGTGGTTTAATAATTCATGTCTGCGTGCAAATATGAAATGACACGTGAAATTCTTAATGATTGGAACAATTTATGTTTTTTATACAAGTGCCATTACTGCGCGAAACAACTGATTCACACTGTCAGCAGGTATTTTGCTATCGTAAAACCTTTACTGTTTATTTGACATTTGTGTAAAATCATATACATATATATTATTAATTTTGTATATTTTAAAATTATTTTTCTTGGAAACAAAGCTTTATATAAAAACAATTTATCTTATAAATGTTCGACTTATTTTATCATATAGAAATATTTTCGCGATTATATCATTAACTACAGGACATCCTGTAATATAAAATTCAGACTGTAAATATAAAATAGATTCTATTTGATGAGAGATCCGTGAATAAATGCTACGACAAAACGTACTTAAAAACGTTATTTCAATATTATAGATTATGGTAAATGTTTAATGGTTAAGTTCGTCATAATAGACCAGAACAATACAAACATATTTTGTTACTTTACATTATGAAACCACGAAATATATTACGAAATATGATTAAGATGCGATAGCGAGTTGACACAAGAGGACATTGAGGATACTGAGGAAACATTGAGTCTTTTGTTTTCGAATAATGGTTACTCCGTGGTTATTCTTGGCATTCAATTTTTATATTTAACAACATTATCGCGGTAAAAATATGACAAATGTTTTCGGTGAGAGAGAAATCTTGTGGTTGCAACTATGATGTTTATTAGTAAGCTATAAACGCGCGAGACACCGATTTAATATACCTATTCATTTCTAGATTGCCGCGATTTATAAGCTCTCATGATGGAGATAAATAGCGACTATATTTCTTCTTCTTCTTTTTCTTCTTTTTATCAATCGAGATACATTTTTGTTTTAGAATTCTCAGATATCTGGCTTGCAATATATACTAATAGGTTGTACACCAAGATTTAATCGTTATGTTTGTCGTCTACCAAAAAAGAGAAAAAAAAATAAAAAAATAAAAAACCACTGCAAATTACGAGGACTGTTTATCGCAATTTATTTGTTGCATCGCACCATTTAATCATGCCGTGATTATTATTTAATCCGTCGTTAATCCCAGATCGCATTCTTTTCATTAGTCTTACGCAGGAAACTCGGTCGTGGGCGAACAACAATCGTCGCATCGTGTTTTATCGTGACGATTAGCGGAACGATTTAACGTTTAACATTGCCCACACATCCAATTGTACCTAATACGGCGGTGGAGCTTCAACTAACGCGAATAATTTTCGATCCTACAGTTACAGCATGGTACTGCATTCCATTCAATAAAGAAAAAGAAAAGTATATTTATTTCTCCGGAATAAAATTTAATTTTTTTTTTCATTATTAGAATGTATGTAATATTGTGTACCTATTTTAGTTGAGTATTGTGTATTTTATTTGAGTTTTAGTATGTACTATCGCTTGTAAAACAATTTCTCCTCGAACTTGCGGATCGTCTAACCGCTAACCGCATCGCGGGTATCAAATCCATTTGTGGTCATAATAGAATTTTATTTTTATCTTTGAATGAAAAAATATGTTATTTTTTATTTTATCATCTTTATTCAAGTTCTTGTTTTGCAAAATTAATTTAAAGAAGAAAAATATAAATAGAGTAGTTTTTTTCTATTGCACAAGCGTTACAAATTTTAGACATCTTTGCTTGTATTTAGAGCGTTTGCAAGGGAACAGAATTGGAATCCGTTAGGCAAAGATTAAGCCAAGTAAAATGTACTTGGGTTCGATGATTGCCAATAAAATCTATCGAACGCGTGTTATACAGCGCGTGTTATATGCAACGGTTCTTTTTGTTCAGGACTGAGCCTTATGTCGGGGTCCGTATAAGGTCCGTCTTGAAACGAGCTGGCCGAGGCATGACTTTTTTTTACTCTTTGTATACAACTTTACAACTTTACTACGTTTGTTATAACGTTTCTTTCCGATTAAAGTTTTTAATAATTTATTTTAAACTTTTAATCATCGTTCAAAGATAAAGTAAAAAATTGATACAATTTGGTGTCGTATTATCGAGAAATAAAATTTCAAAAAAGACAAAGTTCTGCAAATCTGCTCATCGTTTTTTGTTCTATAAATAGTTTTGTCTAAAATCACTTTTAAATTAAAATCATTGACGTAAATTGACGTAAAAATTTTGCTTTACTAAATATTTAATTAGACAGCATGTGTACCTATTTATGTATATTAGAATATTATCGCATGACGTCTCTACACATGGAGCAGAAGCAAAACCGGCAGAGCGTGACGCGAAACGTCGTCGTTGTTTTTAATGACGAGTCCGTCGAGCGAGGTGCTTGTTTAATTACCGATGCTCGTTTCAATGTGGGCCCCTGCCTGCCTGGGTCGCACCACCGTGGACCGATCCCGGTCCGCCCACCCGCATCCGCTGCACTAACCCACGTAGAAAGGTGCAACGACGTACAACTTCTATACATTTGCACGTCGGAGACTAACTGCGGCAATTCGTTAATTCGCAGTTACACCCTTCCTTATAATCAAGTTTCTTTTATAAAACTTCGTTGCATCTTGCAATTGCAAAAAATGACATATGTATGTTTAATGTTGCGTATCTCTCTCTCTCTCTTACTCATGTCATTAATAGAGAGCAAACCATTACTTAGCTTAGATTTTATCATGGAATCTTATTCATCCGCAAATTTTTTTTTTTTTTACAAATAAAATTACCATTTTAATATCAATACGTGTTTTGTCGGGATTCACGCAATGTTGCATTTAAATTACTCATTATCGTAAATGACATAATAAATATGCTGGTACCAATTTAGCGATTAGGCTACTGGTTTTTGTTAATGCAGGTTTTTAAGAAACAAAAATTTGATCTTCGAAAAATATCATTCTAAAGTAAATCACGTCTATTTTATAAATTTTCTATTTTATTTTTAGAATGCGATTTTTACTGCAAATTTGAAATGTGCAGTCTTAAGTCGCTTAGACGAGATGAAAATTTACCAATCAGCATATAACATGACTGGTACAGAAAAATAAACAGAATAAGGTGGATGACTTGAGGAAAATTAATGCTATGTCTGTTGATACTTTAATTTTTTAAGTCGCACAAAGCTTTAAATTAGAAATTATAATAATTGAAGAATGTTTCGAAAAAAATTGGCTTCTTAGCGATCCGCGAAAAAAAGTCAACGATCTGGAAGCAATATGAAATCGCGTAAGATTTGCTGGGTATCGTCTACTAGACCAAGACTAGATATATAGTGGATGCACATTGGCTTTCTTGATGTATCCTTTCTCTTCTTCACTGCGATCATCGGAGCTGTTCATCCTAGGATTCCTACGGACTCCTTGATGACCTTCCGATGCAACGGAGGAAAAAAGCGCGCTAGTGCGCACATGAAGATCAAACAGGTATTAAGTTAGGATGTGAAAGTAGAAAGTAATGATTCGCAAATCAATAAACGCTAAACAGGAATCTTAGAAAATACAGATACATCTGTTACGGTGAATGGCTGATCGAATATTATTTTTTCTATCATTGATGCATCCGCAAATACGTGCAAAAATTCATAATAATCTATTTAATAACACCAATTCTTTCATTGCCGATCACAATTTATTCTATGTATCATTCATTAGGAAATCTGGAGAAAAATAGTAATACTCATGAACGATTTGTTAGAGACATTTCATAGTTGGTGACCTGCGAAAAACTATCCTCTTTCGCAACATGTATCTTCTATAGTTCAACTGGTTCTCTCTAATCACACTTTATTTGTCACTTTTCTAACCTTTTGTACAAGAAATGCTGTATGCATTGAAGAAATGTCCACCGATTAGAGAATATTGCACGTTCCATAAGACTCGAATGTACAAGGCGCGAGAACAGAAGAAGGGTCTTCGGCAATCCCAACAATTTGCAGATACGCATGCGCCGGCTTCAGCGTGGCGGAGGATGAAAAAGACGCGGGAGAGAGATCAACGAAAAATGAAAGAGAAAGAAAGAGAGAGGACGAGAGACGAATGAAGATAGAGAGAGAGAGAGAGAGCTCTCGTGAAAGAACGACCGTGAGGATCGGCGAAGTTGTCGGAGCGAGCCACCAGCTAGCCAAGCCACCAGTCAACCAGTCGGTCGACCTGCTGGCCAATCAGACAACCACGCTAACACGCCGTATTGCGCTGCGCTGCGCTTCGCTCGAGCTTAGCCGCGAGTCAGTCAGTCAGTGCGCCGCGAACCTTGGTCTCGCACGCCCACGTGTGCTTGACGTTTCATCGATGGTTTAAAAAAAAAAGAAAAAAATGATCAAGATGCGTCGAAAGTCCCGGCGAGACCGAATGCCTCTTCTCACTGCTCATTATCGCGCTCCGTAATTAGACATAAATTGGCGGTGAATGTCACAGGTGTGAGACCGCGCGCTTCGGGATTTACATCTCTTCAAGGGATTTCATCTCTTCAGCATCACTGTTCTACATAAGCTACTCGCTTCGCTCGCGTGTGGATATGTATATGATTCGAGTGTGTTGCACTGTGCGATTTTTTATCGGATTAAAATACATATTTGTACGTGAGGGAGAATAAGAAAGAGACGTTTCCATATAACGGAGAAGAGATAGAAAAAAGGGAAAGAGAGGAGAAAATAAGGAGAAGAGAGAAGCGACATGGCGCCCCCCAACAGACCGCCTCGCCCTGGCTCCGGTCTCAGCCTCTCCGTACTTGGTGAGTTAACGATTGAAGAAGATTGCTTGTTCCTTGTCTCCTCTTCTTCACAGGATTCATTTGCAATTTATCTTTAATGTCACTTTGTCAAAAATCATTTTCGTCAAAAATCATTTGCGTTAAAACTCGCGCGAGTACAGATTAGATTTATTTAACAACCCGCGAAGAATACCACAAAATGAGCCTTCTCTAGTCTAATGACAAATTGCATATTTTTAATAAAATTCTTTCAGTCAAATTTCCATTTTAAATTTTGCACGGTATGTATTTTTGGCCGTGTATTCTGCGACAACTTTAATGAAATAGAGAACTGTTATGCATATGGAATGTGCGATTTTTAAATTAATGAATGAGATGCACCATAGTGCATTCACAATACGCTAATTGTGAAAAAGTAAAGAGAGGAAAAAAAACCGAGCTTATGATCTACTAGCCACGAGAATGCAGCCGCGTGCACTATGCAATTGTGTTGATTCCCTGGCGCTTAGATCGCGTGCTGTCGCTTATTATCAGAGACGCGATTAAATTTTATGTGAATAAGTCTTCTCAAACGTTTCTCAACGCGTCACGCTTGATAAGCGATATTATGAGAGAAGATATTGTATAAATATAAATGGTTTCTTTTTATAAAGATAAGAAATCATTGATATACAATTTTTGAAGTTTTTTTCTTGGGAAGTGTTTTGATAACATTGTAAATGTCACAAGAGGAATGAAATAATGACATAAGTTTAATCATATACAGACGTCAAAATTGAATTGTTGATAGATGAATAACGTTAACTATTTAACTCAAATTAACTTGATAATTTTCTACTTATTTCATTGCAAGGAAACTTCCGATGTTTAATCATGTACGTGAAAATTTTTTTCACTCTTCGAATTAAAATACTGACAAAGCTGAAGATATGATTCGTGTATCAAAAGAGATTTGCAAAATTAGAGATATAGTCTAAGAATGAAAAGGCGACCAAAAATCCATGGATTTATGTTGAATCATATGGATTTAAAAAATTGATGTTACGTGAAAGAAAACATTACGATAGAAAGAAATATCTTTAAAATTCTCTCACCTTAAAGTATTTTTTTCTCGATATTCTTCGATAAGAACCGTGCATACGAAAGCAGTTTTTCCGAGTTTTTTAATTTCTTTATCATCCCGTCAGTCATCACATCATATCTTCAGTCTCGTTCTTTAGTCAATGTCGGCGTTAGTTCAGTATCTTATTTAGTCTTTCAGTGAAATAATCTTCAGCTTTAGATTGAACGACACGGAGATTTGTCAGTGTTGAACAAAGTGTGAATTCAAGGTGGGAATCTGATGAGAGTTGGAATATATTTTCTACTAAAGACACTGTCTCTATATAGGTGGTTGACGCCACGGAGTGGAACGACGAACTTCCGTTATTAAAGTATATACGCGTACATGTTCGTAGATCTGCCTGCGACGGCTGAACTGGTTCCCATGGAATGCATTATTTCGAAAACGTCGTATTTATTATCGACCATATGTTGGGCGTAACAAAAGTCGACAATGCGAACTTGTTTCATTGCAAGCAAACTTCCGATGTTTAATCACGTACGTGAACATTTTTTTCACTCTTCGAATTAAAATACTGAGAAAGCTGAAGATATGATTCGTGTATCAAAAGAGATTTGCGAAATTAGAGATATAGTCTAAGAATGAAAAGGCGACCAAAAATCCATGGATTTAAAACATTGATGTTACGCGAAAGAAAACATTACGATAAAAAGAAATTCCGGTAACTGAAACAGTATTTTAACTCAAAGAGAGAAAAAAGATTCTTTTACGTACGTGATTAAACATTGAAAGTGTCACGACTGACATGATTCAATTTTCATTCTATCGTCACATGTGCAAATCGTTACTTATATTAATAATATTCTATGCTTTATCAAATTTGGGATGCAATTAACGTAAGAAATAATTTTGTAGAAAAAGGAAACATATTAATCTCGATATATTTCTATTTCGTTATATTTAGTTATGTTGAATCATATGGAGACACATGTCGAGTCGTAGATAAGATGTCATTATCAGGAGACAGAATTAACTATATAAAGCGGAGCCAGCCTCTTGAGTCTTAACAAGTTTTCAATTTATCATTAATATTTCTTTGACAGCGTGTGTCTCTCACAAATGCTAATTTATTTTTATTACAGTACATTAAACAATTTTTATAATTTCTTGGAATGATAAGAAAAGAGATATGTTATAAATACAAGAAGAACAGATAAATAAAAATGTTAGCTAATATTTCGCAATTATATATCGCAGATACACACGAGCATTTGATATTACGTATGAATGAAGCAGACATTACATACACATGAGATTTTATTTCCTTATTATTTAATAAACATAAGTATCGTGAAAAGAATTTATTATATAAGTTAGTTATTACATTGGTCTTCCTGGATAATTGTAATGTAGTTATTTATATTTTTTTTTTAAATTCTACTAATTTGAAAAAGAATTAATATTTTGTTAATATATTAATATCTCTAAATTATATCATGTCATAAACACATAATAAAAATTGATGTAAGAAATATAACAAAGAAAATTATAGATTTATAAATAATATGCAACGTAAATATATTTTTATGAAACTCTGAATAAATCTTTCTCACGCTATTGAAATATATATGTACATATATATTGAGTTCGAAAAATTATAGTAGGCTATATCCGCTGATATTTCATGACAACCTGTATCGTTGCGAAATGTGCACACCTGTAACACACATCTTGCCCTGTATACGATGTCTAACTTTCCCTGTCGCCTGCACTTAAAATGCGCTCATCTATCTCCCATCGAGAGTATATGGCCTTGAATTTTATAATTATACGCACACATATACACATTCATTTTAAAATCACACACATGTCCCGTTCTTCCTTCATGAAGAAAATATATATACGTATTTTCTTAAATACAGAAATATATATTATATATATATATATATATATGTACATAATTCTATTTAAAAAAAAGAGAACGAGAGAGAAGAGAGAGGTATATTCTTTATATTGTAATATACTATCACATCAATAAGTAGGTCAGTTGAAGTGGCTCCTTTCGAGAGGTAGAACTCGTGAAAAGAAACGGTGCGGCTGCGAAAAAAAAACCCGAATTCGCTCTCTAACACTCTCAACATGACTCGTACTTATAATTGTGCACTCATTGTGCAAACGCATCCCTGTGTGCAAAATGCGCGTACACCTGTTTACGCGAGTCGGTATTGGCAGCATGCGAATAAAGACCCGACAGGATGAAGGGTGTCTTGCAACCTGTCATTCCGGGCGCCAACACAAACGTGAAAAATATCCGGTTGCACAAAGATATCCAAATTACTTCTTTGTCGTTGATGCCATTTTTTCTTCTTTTTTTCTTTTTTTGAAGAAATAGCGCATCCATTGAATATGTCGAACTTATATATGTAAGCGCGAAATAGGCTTTGAAGAAAGTACATACGCGATGACTTCACACGCGATATTAGTTGTTTGACTCATTTCTTTGCACAAGAAATTTTATTTTTTGAACTCAGTGTAGGAATTGATGAGAAATATTTTTTTTCTCTTTTAATTCACCCCTCATACAACATATATTTTGTATATAGCGTAAATATTTTTGTAAATTATGCTATTTAAGAGCAATAAGTAAATAATAAATAATATGTGAAAAATAGAGGCAATTTTCGTTAGAAAAAATTTCGATCATTGCGAGCTTCTTTTCAACTATATATACATATATCGTAGCACGCAAAGGTATTCGATTTGCGCATTACTTTTTTTCTTAGTACTCCGAAAATATACTTGGCCAACAATAGCCGATAGTGTCAGCTTCTTCACATTTTACATTCTCTTTTTGACTTGTCACCATGTCGATCGTTCCTTAGATCTTCTTTGAAATATCTAAAACTTCTTAGGCATGCATACAATTGATTGTGATTTATTTAAATAATTATTTCTAACTCGCGATACACATATTTATTCACTACTAAAGAATTCTATCAGTCTCCGCATAATTCTTTGCGAAATAAAGTGACAGTACATGCAAACCCATGCGTGAACGACTGTAATTTGAGTAAGAGGAAAACGGAGCAACAACCAGCCAGTCTGACACGCTTATTATAAACATTTTAATAATCATAGTATATTCATAAAAAGCAACAATTCTCTTCTTTTTGATCTCTGATATTAGTAGAGACAAAAAATGATTATATAAATTGTTCGCGAAATATATTGATCTCTTTCTCACTCTTAAATGCATTTGACGAAATCGTGTGAATCGTGAAGGGAAAACTGGAGCACGATCAGATACGCCTGCACAATGATATATTTCTTGATTTATGTAACGAGAGAATGAAATAACTATCATACGATACATTATATATTTATAAATTGAAATAAAAATATGATTTACTCGCGTCTCGAGAATTCTGACTTTTGGCTGATTGCTGACTCAAATAAAATTGACGCCATTCAGTTCATTTATCAAGACGATATTATCGGGCCAGGATTTTAGCAAGTGATAAGCATTGCTACTTTCGAGAAACAAATCCGCGATAGTGTCATAAAATCTGAATCGTCTGGTTTACCAAGCCTTATATAAATCGTAAACGTGTTCAACCTGCTTGCAAATGGGAAATGTTCATTGCGGTTACACCACACAGCGAAAGCTTGGGGTATCGTTTCATTCATAGATGACCCGACACTCGAATAAAACCCGTTGCTCCAAAAAAACACGACTAAATAGAGGAAACGTAAAAGACATAAAGAAAACTCTTACAAGTAGTCGAGGTATCCGGTGAACAAAATGATTGATTTATGCAAATGATTTTAGGCGTGATTGTTTATACAAAGTATATTTAGAAACTTTTGTTCTTTGACTTTAATAATATTAAATCACAACTATATTTAGCATTTATCAATTGAATTAATTATCTGTAACTAATTTAATATTCTTTTCAAAACTTACGTTTAATTATAATTGCACAAATACTTTGCAAATACTTTCTTATTTATATAAGAATATTATGATATTACGAAAACAGAAAATAGAATAAAATATCATTATCATTCAAAGAATTTAGAAATGCACGCATGTGCATCAATCTTAAAAAGAACATAAATTTGATTTAAAAAAATTTACGAAAAACATAATAAATATTTTCTCTGCTTTCTCTTTCGGATCAAATAATTTGGATCATAATTATTACGACAGCGACTTCATTCAATCTGCGATTTATAGATTTTTGTGCCATGTATTGATTGCGAAATGTATTTATCTAGGAATTGCATTTGAGCCTTCGTGACAGGTATAACACTGTTATCTAAATTAATTGCGGTGTGAACATGTAGCTCGAAAAGCTTTCGAAGGCCATGTGTGTAAACGTTACATATACATACATATACATACATATACATACATACATATACATACATAAAGGCATTAAGATCTGTGGTCGAGAATCTATGGATATTACTCATATTGTTAAAAATATATTTGCGTGTGTGAATGTAAGAATGATTCTATCGCAGTCCGCGCGCGAGTGCAAATAAAATTAAAATAAAAGAATTTCCGCGCATTGTGCAATACGGTAATAATTGCGAGAACAAGTGTGTGTGTGTGTCACGTTGCGCCATATTTCGGGTCGTAAAAGAGCGCAGTTGAGTGATAAGCGCAAGTTTTTCTAATATTTTATCTGTCATGAATGCGAGATGCATGAGATTCCCCAAGTTATCTAATGTGCTTTATCAGCAATGACGTCACCGACAGCTAATTTTTTATATCACATAAAATAAATATGTTCCCATTTTTGATTGATGTTTGACATCAAAGTACATAATTCAGCACACTCAGCACAGATAATAGTTTTACTAAATTTTTCAATTTTAACTTTGACCGTAGTAAACAATTTGAAAATCTATTTTTCACAAAAATATTTCAGATCGCAAGTTTGTTTCCAAAATTTTTATGATTTATATCAGGAAAATATAGGGAATTTGATGTATATATAAATCTGTTAAAATAATAGAGATTTCAAAAGGTATCATTAAATTCTTTATAAGTATTATTAACGCAAATTTTGTGCGATTAAAAGACGCTTACAGCAATTAATATTGATAATAATAATTTTGACGAAAACAGCTATACTTACATTAATTTGAAATATTATAGCGTTATGACCTACACTTATAGTATAATTTATTTTCAAAAAACATTATTATGAAGCCATGATCGAGTATGAAATTTCGTAACCTCCCGGTATATATATCGAAGGCATCGATTTTAAATACGACAGGACCGTAGGTGAGAGTATCTCGATGGAGTAACTTTCTCTCACTCTTCTGGGCGCACCAAATATAACGATTAACACACGTGACTTGTCGAAACCAAAACGAACAAGTAACTGCCATTTTTCGTCTTATGGTCCACAATCCCCTACTGTTTTCAGTTATTATTGTACGAGTGTCTATCGAAAGTCTATCGAACGTGTCTGGTTTTTTTCAACACGTATCTTGACAATCATGTCATTTTTCTCGAATACTGCTAAACGTCCAAAACATTTTTGCTCAATAGTATTTTAATAATTCTGAATCAATATATAGGTATACATAGGACACCATACAAAAAAATATGAAAAAAACGATAATATATAATAGTAATAATTTAAAATTTAAAAGTCATATACTAAATTGATAAAGATGACCGGGTACAGAGAGGAAAACGTGACACGAATTTGAAGTTACGCTGAAATTGCCAGTAATCGCTTCTGTTGGCGAATGAGAAAGAAACAGTGGCTTCCGGCAGTAAGTCTGGGCACTGATTCGGGTCAGGTCGTCTGTGGGACCCAATTTACGAGGCCCGACTTCACTTCTTTGCGGTGCGAGAGAGAACGAGAGAGAGAGGGAGAGCGCAAAGGGAACGGAAACGGAGATGGGGAAGCTGGTCCAGCAGGTAGCTGGTGGTGTGGATGTCGTTCCGCTTGATTCTCTCACTTGGAGAACAGGCTTTAATCGCCCCCGTTCTCGCTTCAGTCGATGTCGGTCGACTGGATACGTCGTATATCATCACGAATGAATCAAACGAACGAGACGTTCGAATATATGTAATTTTTCTTATAGGTATGTGCAAAAAAATTTATTACTGGAGAATATATTTCTTACACGAAAAGGTCTACCTCTGCTGAGTATTCACACGGAGTTGCCGTTGCAAAATCGTCGAATGGCATCGTGATCGTGTTTCACTGGCGCCAGCACAATGAATCGATCCGCTTTAACAATAACACACCGACGAAAGGAAGCGACTTTCTATGCACGATTTATAGAAGGCAATAAGAGAGAGATCACCGGTTCTCTTTAGATCATTTTTAATAGAATACAATGCAATGTTTTGTCGTTTTTTTTTTTAATGTAGACCTAATTTTAGCAACAATTTTATTAGCTCGATTGAAAGACAAAACGAATACGATCGATTGCGATAACGAGAATAATGGAATAATAGAAAGTTTAATCGCTAAATCATGTTGCGATTAAAAAGATTTTTTTCTTTTCAGGTCTATATGTCCGAAAAGGATTTATGATAGCACCGCGAAGACAGATATTCGTTCGTGCAAAAGAGAGCTAAGAATTTTTATTGTTACTTAATCATCGATTCATATTATTAGATCTTTCTTCGAGGATTAGGAGAACGTAAACTCTTCACGTCTAAACATTTTCCTTGCGACTTTCTTCGATGAATTACATAATTTAAGTGGCATAATAAGTAATAATGGAGAATTTCTCTTTTAAAAAATTTTTCTTTTATTGATAAATTTTTGGAATAATTTTATTTTTTATTATGTTTCCATAGTTTTTGATATGTTTTTTAAAATGACTTTTTTTTGTAAGAGACTGAAATTTTTTAAGTATTTAATGGATATAAATTAATGGATATAAATTTATTTAAAATTTCAGTAATTTTATTATAAATGTTCATATTGCTAAAGTAATTTTAATTCATTTCCTCTATACGCGAAATAGAAAAAAAATCAAGTGCAACTAACAATGCTACGAAGGACAAATGGATCAGATATCGCTGGGCGATATCGTATATCTAATAGATATCGATTGGCGTCTATCAACACGTGACTAAACTAAACGAGACTGGGGACGCATCTGATTGTGAGTCAGTCTGGAGAAAACGACACCGATGCGCGAGTTTACAAGTGGAAGCGAGGTCTCTGCACGCGGCTCGCACCAGACCCAAGTGCGTTGACCCAGCTTACGGTAACCCGGGCTCTGGAGTTGCACCTGCCTCACGCGGAGTTACCGGCATGAAAGGGTCGTGCGACTTCCTTCTCTCTTCCCGTTTCCCTGTTCGCCACACTTTGTCCACGATCTTTATGTGTTCGCGGAGAGACACAGATTAACTTTTCATGCACATGTGTGTTTCTTTTATCTCTCGTTCTCTCGTTGCCGATCCTCCGGAATAAATCAAATCGTTAAACATTTATATTTCTATCTGTGTACGCGTCCGAAAATCCGGAAGCTAATTTTGCTACCTTGCATTTGTCAGTTGGGGTGATAACGGAAATAATGATCCGGAAGAATACCTAGAAGAATACTTGTTGAGCACACTTTATTATTATGTATATACATACGCGAACGGGGATCCCCTTTTGACCTTACTTTCTAGAATGCTTTAGAGTATATGTGGCGTTCGATCCGCGTTCTATTCAATTTATCTGTGCATTTCGTGATGAACGAGCGTCGTTGCTTCGACACGACACGAATCGTGTCCGCTAACCGAGATACCGAGCTCGAAACGAGTTGCTCAGGATGACAGATGGGCCTACTGTCAAACGACCAGCGGTCTCATAAAATTGCACACTGATTCGATTCGATTCACAGAAGATGCATTCGCTGCGAGAACCATGCTTATGTCTCTCTTATGCTTCTTCATACATCTCTTTTAGCAAAGGATTTTGCATCAAATATATATATATTTTCATGGAACTGGCTGTTTTTTTCACATGTTATAGCTTATGACTTGCTGAACAAAAGATGTAATAGCCTCAAAGCAAGTCCTAAGTTAGAACATGTGAGAAAATCAGCTGATTCAGTTTCTCCTAGAATTTTATATAGATTCAAAAATCCCGTACTAATCGTATAAAATTGCATCTTGGTAAAATCAGCTGAACAAAAAAATAGAATAAGTTTAAAGTCAGATAATAGATAGTTACCTAATTTACAGCCAGTAAAGTACAAAAAACTTGCATGGACTCTACGAGTTGTTTGACTGGCTGTAACTCAGTAACTATCCAATATTTAGCTTTGAGGCTGTTACACTTTTTGTTCAGCAGGACATAACTTACAACATGCGAAAAAAAAAAAACTGATCATTGAATCGTCAGAATCGTACACAATTTTCGGATGAATAATCGAGATGACAGAATGTGAACCGATCGCACGTTCGTTTGCAGACCTGGCGCAGATACGAGCGTTGGTCGAGTCGACAGGGATGCTGGGTGGATCCACATGCCCGTCCTGCGAGATGCCGTTCGACAAGGGCAAGAAACGTCGCCTGATCGACTCCTGCGGTCACGAACGTTGCTACTCCTGCCTGTTTCGCAGCGAGGCCTGTCCGCTCTGCTTACACGACTACGATGTCAATAACGATGACGGACTGGAGGAACCGACTCTCAGGGATGCTTCCGCGGCTCCGTTGTCCGTTTTCGCACCCACGGACGGTTGGCTCGATGAGTCATCGACGGTGAATTCTCTCTGCGGCAGCCCCAGGCTACCACGCACCAAAATCACCACGAGGGCTCATTTATCGTCACGAGTTATGCACGTAAGTATATTGGCGCGACGATGAAAAGAAACAATAATATGCAGACAGATCTTCGATTATCTTTTATGACGTGCTGTGTTAAATAGGTTGAAGATATTAAAAGAACAAATTTGTTCTGCTATACATGAAATGTTATGATTTTTCAAGACGTTTAAATATGCATGAATATTTTTATGGAAAAAGTAAAAACAAACAATTGACATTTTTATGATTAAACATAAAAATCTTTTAATTATTACGGATACTTTATCGTATTTGTTACTTTTAGTTAAATAACTTTCAAACGGATCAATGGTCAATAAATCCGATTGAAATTTTGTACAAATGTACGCTAGAGTTTTATTAAGTTATGTGTGTTGTATTATTAATACTTTTTGTATATATGTTAATATATACAAATTTGACTTATCTTTTAATATTTCTTCTTCGTTTGATTCGATTGATAACTGCTGTTGTATGTGATTTTTTTATAAGAATCGAAACACAAACCTAAAAATTACATTTTAAATCACTTAAAAATCTTGCTAAAAATTTAAATAGATATTTAGAAGAAGCAGTTCACACAATTTTCCTAATATATGTATCTTATACATCTTTAAATATAAAGTCTCCAATCTTGTTAATCATTTATTACATTATTTTCAACAGCGAGGTGGGGTAGAAAATCTCTCGTTGGTGACGATGACGAAGAACTTGAGAAGTAAACCTTCGGCGCTTCCAGATTCTTCTATTTCTCAAAGTCAACAAAAATCTGAAATGACACAAAGTATGTTGAAATACATATAAAATCTAATCTAATCTAATCTAATATCTATTCTATCTTCGTGAAATATTTATTATTAAAATATATATATATATATATATATATAAACTCGATGTTATAGGTTGCCCGACACCGCCGAATCAACGAAAAAGATTCTTCCTCAACCCGAAAGTACTCAGAAGCTCCTTTGCCGCTCAGAAATCTTCGAGACGTACCGCATCCTCGCCCGAGCCGACCATGAATGATAATCCTTCCGCATTATCAGGTACAATTATTTCTTTTTTTTTAATAAAATATAGATTTACACATGTCATGTTTGCTCGAAGAGAAAATTTAGCGATTGAAGTCGTGTGGAATAATTTTAAATGAATCTCACGTAAAAAAACCCACACGCGCGTACGCAGTTTGGATGACCTCGTCCTTGGAGGGAAAAGCGACGTGGCCCGGTGTCGTCCTGGGCAAGATCAAGTCTCTGTGGAACAGCAGTCAAGGCACGGCTAACAACGGATTGAATCAACTCATCGGCTCGTCGGGCAAAGTCGCAGGCAGGGAGAATATCTTTCGAATTCCATGTGTATTGCTGTTGAAACATATCGCGATGCTTGGAGTTTGCGAATGAATGCGAGGGAACATTATAAGAGCTATCACGCGCGAGTTTCTCACATGTCACGAGGTGTTCGCTCGCGCGAATATTTTATTCTCGCGATAACATCTCTCGTAACGCAACACTTTAGAAGCATGATACGCACAGTTTGCCATTATCTTTCATTATAATACGCTTTTAGAACCGTAGGACTTTTTGTCCTTTTGTCGATCCAGATGATAATAATATGTAAATATTATTTTCCTCGCATTTTCTATTTTCATGACTAATTTTCAAATTAAATGAGATTTTCATAATTAGTATTTGCACTGATTTGAAATCCAAATTTGCCAACATTTCTTTACTTTTACTAATGTTAAATTATAATTTTTCCTAATCGAAGAATAGAAAATTGAAAACTGGATAATAATTCGACAGGATGCGCGATATTTTCAAAATATCCTTAAAGTATTATTTGTATCATTGTGTATTTTAAATGCCTGGCCATAGCATTTGTTTTCTTATGTTTTGCAGCGTGTTCTTTGTATTAAATCACAATGAAATATTTAGGCAGATACGAAGAATAATAATTGAACAATATAAAAATATTTATGAATATAATAATAACGTATTTGCCTAAATGTGCTTAGTAGAGTGTGATTTTTATTTGTATATTGAATATAAAGCATTTGCCTCGGATCAACATCAGATTCGTAGTTTGGCTCGATCAGGTTTTATATCAATAAAGTATTTCTAATTAATTTGTTTTCTTGCAGATGATGAAGGCGGTTGCGTGAAACCGCTATCCTCGAAAACCAGAAAATCGTCGCAGTCGGATCTGTATATGAGATTGGGCCTGCTATTGGGATCAAATCGAACGAACGCGAGCACGGAACCGGATGCGTGTCCTTCCTCGAGAGCCCCGGCGGTCCAGGGACACGACAGCTCGGCAGCTTCCTTCAGCAGTCTAACCAGCTTCGAAACACAGACGCTGGCCTCGACGAACACGAGTCCGGTCTCAACATTGACAGGCACATCGAGCGAAGCGGAGGCCGCAGCAGCGCTGCGATGTTCCGTCAAGCCGAAGGTCAAGGCCAAGGGAAAGGTCAAGTCCAGGGACTGTGACAGCGCCGGTAGCCTGGCGTCCATCTCCACGTCGTTATCCATATCCACGTCTATGTCCATGTCTATGTCGGTGTCCGTCTCTGGTCTGTCGAATGGTAGTGGCTCGAGTCCGCTCGCGTTCAGGAGACATTCCGCTAATGCCGCGCAAGCGGGCCAGACCGACGAACTTGGCCAGCTAAGGACCAGACGGTCCTGCGCCCGGAGATCAGCGAGAGCCGGCAACGTTAAGGGTCTGGTGGACGCTAAACGTATATAATATATCATTTCTTCTTTATACAGAGTGTCTGACATAAGGTGCCACACCGAAAATATACAAGTACATCTTGTTATTTAAAGACAATTTTTCCTCAACAAAAATATTGAGGCATCAATCATTTTCGAGTTATAAGTGATTGAAAATAAAGAGTTTTTCGCAAACTAAACCGTGTAGAAAGAAAATATTAACAAAACCACACATTCTTCAACTAATTTCAAGTAGTTTACTTTAATAAAATTTTAATTTAAGGTTTAGTTATAAAGATACATGATGGCAAAAAATTATAGTTTTCCTCGACATATTTGCTGAGGAAAAATCGTCTCCGAATAATGAGATCTACATGTATAGTTTTGATGTGACATTTTATGTCAGACACTCTCTATATATAACTAAATTTTCAAGCAGTAATCTAATAAAAATTTGTACATTAAAATTCTAGTGCGTTACATTCAGCATCACATGGCGCAATTAACCTTGAAGCCGTTGTTCTTCGAAGTGCCGTTATTAGAAGAGGATCCGCTCTTCGCCGGACGACAATGGCTGTTACACGAATTCGAATCTGTGATCAATGGCTCTAGTCCTGGCATTCTGATCTCCGGATCACCAGGTACGGGAAAGACCGCACTTATGTTGCAACTGGTGGAACATAGTTGTTTCGGGAGAAGGAACGAACAGCTGGGGCGATCTTTGGAAATGAACAAGGAATGCGACGAGAAAGAGAGGCAAAGTAACGCGACTCTTCAAGCTAATATTCGACATACCAACGAAAAGGTGAGGAACATTTACGGGCATTTTTCTTTTAATATTTTTTTTTTATTTTTATAGGAAAGGTTCAAATCGATCACGTTGTATTACAGGTTCGCGAATTAGCTTCGCACGTCGTGGCGTATCACTTTTGCCAATCCGACAACAATAGTACCTGTCTAGTGCCAGATTTAATTCATTCGCTAGCGGCGCAACTCTGCCAGGCACCTCAATTAATCTCGTATAGGGAGTATCTGTTGTCCGAACCTCATCTTCAAGGTTCGCTATCGCAAAGGGAGTGCACTGTTGATCCGGATCTCGCGCTCTCTAGAGGTATTATCGAACCGCTTTTGGTCTTGAAGAAAGCCAATAGATTACCAGTCTCGAATATGGTAAGTAAACTGACACAAGTGAACATATTATTTTTTTAAAACTATAATTATTTTTTATGAACAGATGCTGATGAATATTGTATTTTATTATGTCATGAACGTCATTTGATGTATCCTATTTCCAGATAATATTAATCGACGCCGTTTGCGAAGCCGAATATCACAGGCCAGATAGAGGTGATACTATAGCTTCTTTCCTGACGAGGCATGCACCGAACATTCCGAGTTGGTTGAAGATTGTTTGCACAGTAAGAACGCAGTTGCTCGACTGTGCGAAGCAACTGCCATACACGAGGATTTCGTTAGACAAGATTCCGAATGATGCGATCGGCAACAATATCGCGAAAGATCTGTCCGATTACATCGGTTACAGACTCGCGCAAAGTCCCAATATACAGACAAACGTGACTGCATCGATAAACGGCAAGACGGAATCATCGTACAACGCGAATCAGACGAGATTCGCCTCGCATCTACTTGCGCTGGCTAAAGGCAGCTTCCTCTTCGCTAAACTGACACTTGATCTTATCGAGAGCGGACATTTAGTCGCTAAATCTGCAAGCTATAAGGTAAACATATGAACATATTTTCTAATCATAATTTAATTACAAATTATACAAATCGTTATTTTGTTTTTTTATTATATTATAAAAAGATATCAAAAAAAATAAAATGTATAACGATTCAATATATATATATATAATAAAATATATATAATATATATATATATATATATATATATATATATTATAATAAATAATAATATATATTATGTTTTATTCCCTTAGGTACTACCGGTCTCTCTCGCACAGATCTTTCAGTTGCATTTTAACTTAAGATTTCCTACGGTAGCCTCGTTCGACAAAGTGCAACCTCTTTTGGCCGTCTGTTTGGCAGCTCTGTATCCACTGACCTTACCTGAAATTTTTTATTCCGTAAATTCCCTAAATGTAGACCATTTTATCTCATGGGAAGACTTTTTACAGAGGTTCAAGGCAAGTATATTTTAAGTATAAAAATATATATTCTGTATTTTTTTTAACTAATATGATTATATAATTTTCTCTCTTTTTCTCAATCTCTATCTTTCTTTCGATGATGTTAAATTTACGTAAGTCTTGCAATAATCTAACACAATAGAAATCTTTAAAAATTGAATATTAAAAATATATATTTGATACAAATATAAGAGAAATAATTATTTTATTGTTACTAAATATTCTTGCATGATTACTTGTTGACTTATGATTTAACAGTTACTTGTATTTTTTAACTATAGAGAGTACTGTAAACGTTATATAAGCTCTCGCAGCGTGTCCGCCCGCCCATTTAATGTAACAGTATTCTCCTCTTTTATCAGATGCTCTCTGGTTTCCTTGTGAAACGTCTAGACAATACCTACATGTTCTTCCATCCGTCGTTCAGGGAATGGTTGATGAGAAGGGACGAAGGGGAATCGACAAAATTCCTGTGTGACTATAGACTCGGACACGCGGCGATTGCGTTCAGACTATCTCGTCTTCAAGCACCGTTAGACGGTGATAAAGCCTTGGAATTTGGTCATCACGTATTGAAAGCGCACGTTTATAGAGGCGTAGCTCCGTGCTGGCCTTCGCGCGATTTACAAGTAGGTATATATATATAATTATTATATATATATATGATGTAACATAAAAGCTTAACCACATTGCATTCATCCGCAGGCTCTCTGGCTGACCCTGTCGACCGAATGTATCTCCTCGGCATTATGCACTCTTCGGAATATCTACAGTCCAAATGTGAAGGTGTCGCGATTGCTCCTGCTGGCGGGCGCATCGCCGAACCACATCACCGAGTATCTGGGTAACGCACCGGCTTTATGCATGTACGCGCACGAGGGTTTCGTCGAGATGGTATCCCTCCTTCTCGAATTCGGCGCCGATGTCGAACTGACTAATAGCCAAGGTTGTACTGCATTATCACTGGCAGCTGCCCGAGGACATTGCGACGTTGTCAGAAGGTAAGAGCTTCATATCCAAGACAGCACAAGACATCCTCAGGATTATCCTGGAAATGTCCAGGATGGCCCAGGACATTTGTAGAATATTTTAAGATATTATTATCAATATATTTTATGAAAATTTAATATCCATATATGATTATTTTTGTTATGCAGGCTATTTAATATAGACTTTGATCTTTCAACGTAGTTGCTTATGTTATGCATTTGACAGGTTGGCTGCTGCTGGAGCCTTGTTAGGACATGTTGACATGGCTGGCCAATGTCCTCTGGTACACGCGGCGAGGTACGGAAGACTGTCAGTGGTTGGGTACCTTCTTGCTTGTGACTGGGTCCTGCCAACCGGTGAGAATAGACTGGAAAGCGGTGCCTCAGAAATAGGCAGAGAGGAAGCCGCTCAGCAAGCTGTTGTCGCGGCCGCTTCGCAAGGTCATGAAGCCGTCGTGGAGTATCTCTTAGATATGGCCGAAGTGATTGTGGATCGTCCCGATACATTGATAGGTGAAACCGCTTTAACGATTGCTGCCGCGAATGGTTCGACCGCAACGGTCTCTGCGCTTTTGGCTCGTGGTGCTAATCCAATCGCTGTAAACGCGAAAGGTCTGTCTGCTCTCATGCTCGCCGCCAAGGAAGGACATTGGGGTACTGCTGAACGACTCTTGCAAAGTTGGTTTCTTTTTTTTAAATTGTCAAACTGCACTCGCGAAGGATTAGCTTTATAATTCTTAAATCGTTCCCCAGAAAATTTATCCACCAGCACTGATACAATATCAGACGAAACTATATCGCTCCTGGAACAACGCGATCCCACTGGCCGCACTGCGTTAATGCTGGCTGCTTCCGAAGGCCACACCAATCTTGTCGAGCTGTTTCTCGATAAAGGCTCGATTTTAGAAACGAAAGACAAGGAAGGACTCACTGCTCTTGGCTGGGCTTGCGTTAGAGGACGCGTAGCTGTCGCACAGATGTTGCTCGATCGCGGCGCCAATGTTGGTACGAATGACAATACTGGTAGAACTCCTTTGGATTTGGCCGCATTTCAGGTAAAGTTCCACTTTTCTTGTATACAAGTATATCATTATCATGTGTATTGCTCGCGATCTCTGATATTCACAAAATTATGTATACAGGGTAATCCAAAACTAGTACAGTTATTACTCGACAAGGGAGCCGCGGTGGAACACGTCGATCTTCATGGCATGCGACCTCTGGACCGTGCTATCGGATGTCGCAATATACCGGTGGTCCAATGTTTCTTGCGTCGTGGTGCCAAATTGGGTCCCGCCACATGGGCTATGGCGGCAGGAAAACCGGACGTTTTAATAATCTTGCTGAATAAGCTTTTAGAAGATGGCAATGTCTTGTATCGGAAGAACAGATTGAAGGAGGCGTCGCATCGATACGCGTATGCTCTTAGAAAATTTCCAGTCTCCCCGGAAGAAGATTACCAGGGGCAAGAACAAGGTCACATGATGCTGCAGCTCCAAACTTTTACGCAGCTCCGATTAAATTTCCTTCTAAATCTCAGCCGATGCAAGCGCAAGATGAACGTTAGTATAATACAGGATTTTTTGATGTTGCTTAAATGTTCACTTTTTACAAATTTATTCTTGTTTCTAATATCGCGATTATTCCAGGAATGTATTGAAGCTATCGAACTCGCCGACGAAGCTCTGGACATCCGTTCCGTTTCTTACGAAGCGTTCTATGCCAGAGCTAAGGCGCGCGTAGACTTAGGCTTATTTGAGGACGCCTTGTCAGACGTTCAGGAAGCTCTTCAACATGCGCCGGCTAACAATAAACAAGATCGTAGAGTACTCGCAGCCTTAAAAGACGAGATCGTCTCTCGGATCGACGGTACTGGAACCAGTAAAGGGCACGAAGATTATATCGCCAGATCTCGCCTTCGAGCATCAGTGGATACTCTTACAGAGTTGTAATGTTACTTGATTAAGATACTCGAATATGTTAAGTTTATACAAATCGATTCGATTCTCAAAAACGCAATAATAATAATTTACGCTTGTTATAATCCATGATTTAATTTATGACCGTATTTAAAGGAACGGCCACAAAAGCTTTATCCAAGAGTTTAAACTTTTCTAAAGACCTAAACGAGGTCTTTCGCTTCTGTGCTTATCGAGTGCTAGAAATGATAATTTTGTGAAAATTTAAAAAACTATATCTTTTTTTAGAGATGCTTCTGTATCATTTCTGATACAATAGCGCTATTGACGTGCGGCTTTTATATACTTTTACTATATACTATATACATTCGAATAACTTATTATATAGATATTTATCCTTAGTTTGTTGCTCAGAGAATTTAACACAAAAACTTGATTTGATCAAATTTACATTCTGTATTAAAAAAAGAGAAAGAACATCTCTTTTTTTATCGAAAATGTAATCAAAGACATAAAAGTGTTAAACGATTTGCACACGGATTTTTATCATTCGCAACTTGCTTTTAAATTATCATATTTTACAATCTTTTAACACGTATATTTATGTTATATTTAATGCAAGATACAATTATAAGCTTGAAAACTAGTTTTGAATGAAAATTCTACGATGGTTGAGTTATATTACTATGAATTATGCGTTATCCTGTACATTGTGTACGTGGAAAAATTCTTTCTTCAGTATTCTTACAGTATATACTGATCTTGCCACGTAAAAGTATTTTTAGAATTTATGAAAATTGCTGTAATAAAAGCGTGCCGATTTAATTGTCCGGCAAAATTCGCTAATCAAATTGGCATCGTAATTATACTTATCATCGATTTATTAGAAACAAATTGTAATATATCAATCGATGATACATCGACGTTGTCAATTATTAGTATATGCAGGATACTTGATATTTATTATAGTTGGCAAAACACTGATTAAAAAGTAGTTTGTTTCAACATTAATTTTTAACGTACAAAAGATATCCAACGTATTCTGACGCGAGCATAAAGTATTGTATGATGTGGAGTGAAATATTTGTATGATTTTTATTTGATTATACAAATCAAATAAAAATATATACAATAGATCTTCGTATAATGCAGGGAATATGTTCTGTGTTATGATTCCACGTTATACAATACTCGCACATAGATTGTACAAAATTAAAAAATATATTGTTCATAAAAAATATATTGTTCATTAGAAAAGAAATACAAAATTTTTCGCAAAATTTGAAATTTATCTACTGCGTGTTATAGAAGAGAATTCATGTTATCGAAATACGTTTTATAGAAGGTTTTTTGTATATATATAATCACGTGTGTATTATATGAGTATAATACATTAATATAATTGGCCTTATAAAGCATTATAAAACATTCTAATTTAAATGAATTGTTTCATTATTTGCTTTTTTATATCAGTATTTTATATAATAATTATAAACAATTTATAGTGCAACATTCTCATTATTCAATTGAACGTAGAACGCGCGCATATGTATAATTATAAATTATATATAATACTATTAAATTTTGCTATATTTAGTATATATTTGTACTCCGAACATAAGAAAAATCCAACATTATTAACCTCGCAGTGATTATTTATAATATTCGCATCTTGCCAAGCGTATGTAAGGTCGCAGAAATCGCGAGTTCCTTGATTTGATTTGAAAAACAGCTATATCGAATGTTATTGACCCCATCAGAATAAACAATGGTGTCAAATAAATTAACTTTTTATTGAGATGGGTCTCTTTATTTTTATACCATTTCTTACATATCTTGACGAAACGATATTATGTAAAGTTTGAATATCATATTAATACAACGAGTTATTCAAGTTAAATGCACGCATAAACATATTATTAGTTTTAAATCATAATAATATCTTTTTTTTATAAAATAAAATGCAATTTAAAACATTAAAAATTATATTTCATTACAGAAACCGATATTGTATTATTTAAAAATAATATAGTTTTGTTCTTATAAATAAATAACTTTTTTTAAGCTACGTTTATAAAATATTTTTGCTCGTAATTCTAAGCTACATATACTACATATCTTATAAAGAAATTTTTCTTCAAAATTACATATCTTGTAAAAAAATTTTTCTCCAAAATTATTTTCGCAAAGTTATAATTTTTTATGTCAGATACCAATTTTTACAAATCTCTTTTTAAAAATCGATTAAATAATCGCTAAAAATTAAGTATTTAAAATTTTTTTTAAAGTAAAATATAAGACATTATTAATAGAATCATTATTATAATAGAAACTGCAAAGATGTTTTATTTTTTCCAAATTATTTTTAATACTTTAGAGTTAAATTAAGAACTATGGATCCAGGGGATTTCATTATTGCGATGTTTCAAAAACGAATTTATTATTAGAAATAGTTATCCACATAAATTATGCTCAAAAATATATTTTTTAGTTCAATTTTGTTTTTTAAATATTTTTCTTAATAAAACTTTTTAATAAACAACGCGACGACGAAAATTTTTTATAGATTCGAGATTATGATTTTAATTAATGTCAACTAGAAGTATTTTGGATCTATGTAAAGTAAAGTAATTTATTCATTAAATTATTTTCTGTACAAAAAATTTAATATATATAAACAGAAAAATATTAAAAACATATGTTTTTTTATTTGCTTTAATTTGATTACATAGACATTGTTGCAATAAATTTAAAAATAAATAATAAATAAATAAAATAATTTAAGAAGACACATATAAATATGATGCTTTTTTATTTACCATTGCAATAATAAAAAGATTTTTATAATTTTATAATATTCACATATATGTCTATGTTAACAAGTGAGATACGTATAATATCCTTTATCTTTTTTACTTAAATATATAAATGATTTGACAAATGAGAACATTAGAAAAGCAGCAAGGAAAGGCTAATTTGGAAAAACACAGCTGAATTGGGATAGAGAAAAAATCATATATAATAAAGAAAAAATATTTAAAAAAGAGGAAATCGCGATTGCAATTATATATGTATGTATATATATATACATATACATATAATTCATACTCAAAAATAATTAGCAAAACAAAGTTTGATCGTGTACACTTAAATGTGAGCTGATTCTATAATAATAATTGTATAAGATTTAATAAATTACAAAATTTTTGGTCTCAAATGTGCGTGTCAAGGTGAATGCACCAGTAATTAAAGATACAGTAAGTACACTTCATTTAGTTACATATAGATATTACATTTAATGTTCAGCATTTAAAAGTAACGGCGCTATAAAACTTAATATTACACACTCTCCATTCTATATATGTGTAGTTTGATATATTGTTAGCGAACAAGATGATGTTTTAATACATTTAATTAATATTTAATATGCAGAAAAATATTACTTTTTACATATACATAGTAGAAAATAATTTGTCCAATTATATATTAAATATTTTTTATATATATTGCCACAATCATGTATACATATATATCAATATTTTCAATATTACTTTGCATAATTTTCGTGTTTATATTTATTCATCGCGAAAGTATATTATATTCTCTATATAAATAAAATCGTTAATCAATGTAGGTACAATTGAGAGAATTAAACATGACTAGTTTTTCAGTTAAAGAGATTTATATCTTTTTTTATATACAATAGATTGCATATATATTATTCTAACGCAAAAATAATCGATTTAAGTTTGTGCAAAATAATAATAAATTTATAATGAATGCCATATAATTTTGTCTTATATATGTCATACAACGTATCGGCAAACATATTTTTGTATCAAAATTGATTGTATCCATTTGCTTTATTATATTGTGCAAAATTTCAATAAATCCATTTTACAAAATAATGAAAAAATCATGTGACACGATAATAAACATATTATATTACGTATAGACTTATACGTAATTATATATAGATAGTTTCTATATATATATTAAGTTATATATATTCTACATTTTCGTAAAATTCCAACAAAATAAATTAAATACAAAAAAATAGTATTATTCGTATCATCTAGTGATTAACAAAAATAAACAGAAAAAAATAACAAGAATATCTGTAAATAACAGACGAACTGTCGAAGAATAAGTCAATTTAATTAACGAAATAAATTAATTAGTAAAAAAATAATATTCTCATCAAAAACTGTTGTGTCGGGAAAATTAAATAATTGCAACATAATATCAATAGTGGAAGTATTATAAGAGTACGATTGCTGCGAACGTATTATCAGCGATCTGGCAAAAATCGTTAAGCGCAATATTGCTATCTTAATACGTTTCAAACATGATAAATTTAAATTTTACCAAATGCACAATTTTTGAAATATCTGCCAGATTATCGACGATACGTTAAAAAATTCAGGCCACTATAACGAGCAGCGAATGTTTGTGATACGCGTGTTTTTAAAGATATCTATCATCGAAAGATGAGTACTACTGGCCCTTGTACGTATCTTTATTTTGGTAGCCTTGTACATATCCGGATGTATCTGTTATATCTTTGCGGCCTGCTATGCCTTTACCCTTTCCCGTTTCGTCAAAACGTTGTTTATGGGAGCCGGTATATTTACTAACATCGGTTAGTCTGTCAACTGTCGATGCTACCTTTCCGGCCTATAAATTGAATTAAATAAATTGTATAAAACGAGATTAAAGGCAAATTGAGATGACAAATTGAGATGTATAGATGAATTTTTAAAGAGCTGGAGAGATAATCTATTTTTTATAATTTACTGTCACTCATTACGAAACTACGATACGTCAGTTAAAAATAGTGGATCCAATATAGTTAGCATCAAGTATAATTATGTATGTACCGATCTGCATTATTTTGTACTTGGTACATTTTTTGATATTGGCTGACTACGAATCTGAAATTAAGAACGTCGAATTATAAATTTTAGGATAGAGGATTTAATATGGCAAAAAAATATTAAGGATTAAAATAATTAAATATTAAAAATATTCATAAATAATAAATATTAATATTAAATATTAAAGTATTCTAATTTATCGTACATTAAAGTTGTAATTTAAATATGTAATTTTGACTTTTAATGTGTAACCATAGCAATCCCGAAAACGTATACAATATATCATATTCGGCATACCTATAACTGTGTGCACAAAATTATTTACTTAATGTTATATTATTATATTGAATCCATTATTTTTAATTCTTTTTTTTGTTTATGCAGAGAAAGAAAATAGAGAGGAAAATTGTTTTATAATTTTTTGAAAAAAATACGCGATTAGATTACAAGACATTGTCCGTACAAAAATTGGCAATTTATAGTCATAATTATATAATTGTATATAGAAAACTTATAATTATATATTTTTTTTAATGACATGATTCGAGAAAATTTGAAAATATTCTATACACTAAAATTGCAAGACATTAACGTTTCTAAATCAGTGATTTTTGCGGCCAGTTATACATTAAATTATGTTTCTTGAAATTAAATATTTATAATTTAAAACAAATTTTGCAACATTAATAAGGGTTAAATCAAGAATAAAAAAAAGACGAGTTGTATATCTCTAATATTGAATCTAATAAAATTTAAGCGTTAATCTCAATATCACTAAAATGATATTAAAATGTCAAATAAATAAGTATAATACGTACTCCACTGGCACCAGCTGTAACTCCGGGTGGTCCACAGTTAGCCATTTTCTTTTTTATTTCTGTTAATTCCACTTTCTTATTTTTGGCCAGTTCGTCGAGAAATGTTTTATATTGTTCAAGACCGAGCTTTTGGGATCTGTGAATGATAACAAAAATATAAAAATAAACTTAATTATATAAGTAAATGATGTATTAATTTGAGATAAAGTTACATTACTTCAGAACAATGATGATAATAAAATAAACAAAATTAAAATTTTTTTAAGACTTACTTGTGCTTTTTGAAATAAATTCCTGTATCCGTGGTAGTGATCTTTTTTCCATCGATTACTTTTGCTTGCTTCATCCATTTATCACTTTGGCTTAAAGTAATCAGTTTGCCGTCACTCTTTGAATCGCCGAATTTCGAGAACGCTTTGAAGCTCGTTAAAAAGCTACCCGATTCAGTAGCACCGGGACTGCTTGGTGTTGAACTCGTTGAACTGTCTTCGATCTTCAAATTCGTAACGTCATTCGTGACATCGTTGACAACCTTATTTTTCTCAGTACCGGTATCACTCTTTTCCGTTTGCATTGTGATCACTATAATAGACATTGATCGTTTATTCATTTAAATATGCCATAACTGTCGCATATTAAAGGCAACATTTATATTGTGAACATTTTTATTATACACAATTATCGAAAATTGAGAAAAAATTGATTAAAAATAAAATCAAAATTATTTTATTATTTGTAATTTTTCACAAGTTGCAATTTTATTTTCTTCGATAAACTAGTTTTTATTAAAAGAACTGTGTTCTATTTCTTTCGTTTATCACTAGATAATATAATCAATGAGCCAGCGTGTATCCAACTGTTGCATCTTCATTCATTATACATATTTTGCAGGGTTACTATCGACGTTTTACTGATCGACATTACAATTGTAAGGAAAACCATAACTTTCGTTTCATCGAGCAATAATCTTTCGCGTATTTGTTGCAAAAAGAGCTACAATAAGAAATGTACGATAAAGTTATTTATTCTATCAATGTCATCAGCGGAATTACTTATCTGAAATATATCTCTACAAGATTGATGAAAAATCACATATATGTCATTACGAGACTGAAGTCTATTACTGATAATGACTAATTGTAAATACAATTCGCGATTAATCAATTTTATTGCATTTTTGTATTTTTAAATTTATAAAATATACAACAAATATAGCAATGCATTTTATTATTTATTTCAGGTTTTTTAAATGTTTATATTATATTGCTGTAGTATTTAAAATAATAGAACTTGTTTTTATATTTCATAATTTTGATGATATATATAATTCATGGTAATTATTGTTAATATTAATTAATATTCATTAAATTGCAATTATTAGTTAACTCTCTCTCTCTCTCTCTCTCTCTCTCTCTCTCTCTCTCTTTCTCTCTGAAATAGTAATAATTTCTACAATTTATCTTATTTATCGAACAATAGTGATAAAAATTACACGCGTAAATACATGTATAAAGAAAAATCAATGAAATATCTACACTCCACGAGATTTCATGAAATAAAACCTCGCTTAGTTTTTATCTATTTAAAAATAACTGCAGATCATCAGAAAAAGAAGAGTCTAGTGTTACTATAGAAAAATATATTCAGGGTCAACATGTGGTTTGTATTGCACGCTGTAAACATGCATGTACGACCAAGACTGATACTGCATAATAAATATCTCTACCTACTCCGCATTTATACAACAAAATGTCTCTTAAGGGGTTCGTTTACATTATATATTTGACAATAATTTCGTAATATTTCGTAATATTTTCTATTTGTGCAAATATCTTATTAAACCCTCACAATTTATATTATATAGTTTTAAAATAAGAATAAAGATTATATACATACATATACGAACGTGCGATAATGCGTCGATTAGGTCTGCACTTAATGGAAAGGAAATACATGTTAACGTGCGAACAGAAAAAAGTGTTGTATAATAAATGCAAGCGTGAATGTCTGTCAAAATGACAGAACACTGTGCGCAGGAAAACAGTGTGTATGTGTGTGTGTGAGAAGAACGGTGTTTCACGTCTATAAATAGGCATTACTATAGCGTCATTTAACATAATTAACGTCATCGGTCAGTCAAAGTGCGACATTTGATTAAGCAATAGCACCGCGATCGAATGTCAAAATTTGAAGATGCCATCCACCATATAACACAACACCTGCGTGTGTTCGACGGGCGTATTTTTTTTTCTACATCCACATACTTGAAAATAATTATTTAATTGCAACTCTGCTTACCTATATGCATATATATTATTATTTCCGCAGTTCGGCAGAGATAATAGACTCACCGCGTCTGTTGGCTGTTGGGGGAGAAGCAACGATGACGACCCGTTTAGCGTTTCTAGGTCAGTATGCGCGTTGATATTAATTCCGTCGTAGACGACGAGACGTCAGGCGACGATGACGTTTCGGAGTAGCGTCGAACTCGGAGGGAAAAAAAATTAGCGCATCTCGTACGACCTCGTTCCCTTGTCACAAAAGTGTATCTCACGATTTTGCTTATTGTTTTTACGCGCACAAATTCGAGGGCGAACGCAGAGTGCGTGGCGTTGCGTTCCGTTGCGTTGCGTTTGGGAGAAACTCGTGCGCCTCGCGACACGGCCAGACGCGCATGTGTTCTATCGATCTTCTCGCCCCGGGAAGCACATAGTCACCCTCCCGCATCTTTGAATCTGCGTTCCATCACCAGGCGGCTCCTGTCGAAACGAGGGAAGAGAATTGCACACGTCAAATTCGTCCGAATTCATCCGGCTGGTTCCAAGTTAGAGAATTCAACATTTTATGCAGATGTGTACGAAGAAAATAAATCAACTAAAACGAAACTTAACAAAAGTAAATTAACATATAAATAAGTGAAACGACACTCTATGCTTCATGAGAGGTGAAAAACATTATTTATTATTAAATTGTTGAGGAAGATATATAAGTGCAAAATCTGCTTTAAATCCACACGTCATGACTTGAAATGATATCATTTGCATTTTTTGTTACTCATCAATCACATTAGGTTGTTCATTAGACACTCATCTAAAACCTTGACTGTTATAAGAGACCTTCAAGTCAAATCTCTAGGTATGATATAGGGGTTCCAAAACAAATTGCATCTAGAGTGCCAAAATCCACCGCTGTTTTATATAAAGTTGGCGTAACCACGTTTCAAATTTCTTCTTGACTTTGTGATATATACAATGCCATTTGCGATAGTTCTACTTTGGTGTCATAATAAAAGATATTTCTTAAAGTCCTTGTGTAGGTATGTATGTACGTCAAAATAGCTTCTGCATACAAATACGACTCGATAACTTCCGTTCTAAATACATACCATTTCCTAAATGCTTTCTTCAGCTTTTTTATATGTTTATCTCCGCAAAATGCTGGAATTTTGTTTTATTTGTGTCTCTGTTACGTATGTTCTACATACAAATAATTGATATCGTAAATTTAAAAAAGTATCACGATTTTTTTGTAATAATTTAACATCAAAATTTATAATTTATAAATTTGTAAATATACAATGAAGTAAAATCAACAGAGATTTAACTTCATGAGAATCCTTAATATTAATTAACTGTTTACCTGTTTAATTATCCCCACCGAAATTTACTTTTTTTTATATTAGCCTTCATAAATGGATAATTTATTAAAAATAACTCTTATCGAACCGATGTAAACACCACTATTTCTGTAACTCTATCCAGAACTGGCCAGAATAAGACTGTGAGCAAGACTGAACCGTCACTGCTCGTTGCCCGCAAAGGTATCCCCACCCACATAAATATATATATATCTTTCGCAGCTTTTTATCATACGAAATGTATGCAGTAAATTCCAACATTATTTTTACTTACATACAATTTCTGTCAAACACTCGGAATTATTTTTCATTTTTAGCCAAACTATTTTATTAACTATTCATTATTGCTACGTCAAAAGCTTGAAAAGATATATATTTTTTAAATATAATATCTTTCGCACGTTTAGAGGTTGAAATAATACTTTGAACTTAATTCAGTACACTTTTGACTTTGATTAAATATGTATCATGGAAGTCACATGTGATATATAAAAAAATATTTCAGACAAAAGTTTTGTACCATTTTACGTACTTTGTAAATATACTATATCTGGATTCTTTAAAATTGAATATTTTTCAATATACCCTTATCTCCTCTTTTATTATTTTTATAAATTGTAAAATTTATATTAAAAAACAAGCATTTAATGCAAAAATATTTGCACATGTTGGGATATATTTGATACACAATGCTTTTCAAAATCACTTTAATTTTGAAAAGTAAATTTTTAAACGTCGTGTTATATTCGTTACGTCTATGTCGCGTTTATGCACTATATTATAACAACTTAAGTTGTTATAATATAGAATTAAGAATTCTTTGTCAACCTCGTGTCTCACATTATAAAGTAACCACAAGCTAAATTTTAATTTTGCATGCAAAAATAATGTATGACATAATGATAATATACGTTATAATAATAAACAAAATTTTCAACATATTCTATTTCAATATTGAAATCTCTAAATGTATTAAAACATTTATAACTTTACAATAGAAGAATATTTTCAATTTTATGTATAATTTTAAGTAATATACGTACATATATAATTATATTCATATGTATACACAGCTATATTCGATCTGGTATGCGTGCGTGTGCGTGTCATAAATTAATATTAATATGTGCAAAATCTAAATATAATAGCACTTTTTCATTTCGTAATCAAACGTATTCTTTGCAGCATTGTATGTGACAATCATTTCTAGCACTGTTTCTAATATAATAGTAATGTCATCGAGCAAAGAAAATACTTTTCCTATATCTAGAGCATGTAATAATTTTACAAATTTATTGTATATAGTATGTAAATCAATGTATTCATATCTTATATAGCTTTTCTAATTTATTTATATTTTGTTTTACAGAATTTATCATCATATATATACAAGACAAGAATATAATAATTTTTCCTTTAAGATTGCATATAATATTATTCATACTTTTTAATGACGCTGAAACATCAACACTGAATGAATTGATATCTATTCTAGGCTATAATATAATAAATCTTCGAATTATTATTTATTAAAGATCAGTTTCTATTTTATCAGACAAATTTTTGTATGATATGAATGTTTAAAGAAGTTGATCTTTTTCGAAAAAGAAATTGTTTCTGACGTAGGGGAACAGATAGTCGAATCTACAACATCTACTGCTTGTCCAGTTTTTCGAAGTACACTGCAATTTTGACAGCTGAATCGCTTCAACAATTGCTGCTTGATCGTCTTCTTACACACAAATATGAAAAAAATACCGAAATTTTGCATCATATCTAATGAATATACAATATATAAGAGATACCATTTTATTGACGAAGGAAATTGCCATGATAATATCGCCATAAACCAGGTTATTCCCATCACAATAAACACGATGATAAACAACTTCAAGTACAATTTAAACCTGCAAGTTAATTTATATTTTATACTTTCTGAAATTGCGTATTGCGACTATAAAAAATTATGATAAACAAAAATATCGATGATAATTAATACTACTTGTAAGACTACATCTCATTAATAAAAATATTATCATTATATATTGTGATGCAAAGATGTTTGAGTACAGACCATTTTTTCTTTTCATCATAAAGTCGGCTCTCCGAATCTTTCAAATGATGGGTTCTGTCCTTCTCATAACGTGCAATTTTCAATGCTGTAATAGTAAATAAGCAAATGCTACTAAAAATACAAATAAGCGCGGGTGGCCAATAATACAGCATAGTCGCCCACTCTTCTAAAATAAAAAATAAATTTCTCGCATTTTGGAATCATATTTTGGAAAAATATAAGATATATTTTTACTTTTGCATATAATTTATTAGAATCATAAACATATAATTTAATTTCAATTAATTATGCCATTGTTAATAGAGTTATTCTATTAGCAGTATCCACTTACCATTAAACCAACAAATAAAGATGCCAAGTTTCGGTTGAATTAGATTTTTCGACACGCTAGGAACGAAATTCATGATAATACAGATTACAGTGAGAATGAAAGGGCTTCCCCATACGTAAAGGGAATATATTATCAATTTCTTTCTCTCTCGTTGTTTTATGTTTCTTTGCAAAGAACGAAAACTTCTGCAAAATATCGTTTACATTAGTCATTTAACTAATAGTAAATAAAAGAAAGCGCGATGCAAATACAAATTGAAAAAATAATATTTTTTCTTGAAAGTCTGTTTTATGTAATTATAAAAATTAATTAAAAATATATATGCGCGACATCACAACACAATGTAAAGTACAATTCTGCGACAATGCAATATAATTCGCAATTTATATTTATATTTATAGACAGATTAATTTTTATTTAACACAGTTTTTTATTGAAAAGAATCAATTTACCTAAATGTCCACCACATATCAAAACTCATCACAGTTAACCAAAAGCAGGTTCCCAGATAGCAGAAATAACAGATTAAAGCTACAACAATGAAATAAATAATGTTTCAATTATTAGTGAGAACTTGTTTTAAAATATAACTGTGACTACTATATATCTATACGTTGTAAAAAAATTAATTTTTAATTTATTAAGAATTTAACAAAAAAAGATATAATTCATACAAAAATGTATATTAAATATTATATGTATATTAAATAATACTTTATTTATGAGGTGTATATATTTCAAATAATATATTTCAACTGTGTATATATTTCAAATAATATAATATAAAAGGCATTTTTTCTGACAAATCGAATTATTGTATAATTGTACGTTAAAGTGCATCAAAAATTTCAATTTTATTCACTATCAATCTACGTATTTTAAACAACTTGTACTTTAACAAATTGTATATTTTCAAATTTTATAATTGAAAAGTTGATTAATCCGTAAATACACACTGATAAACTTAATAAATGTATGTATATATCAAATTTATTGTTACATCAAATTTATTGTTACATGATTTGAGTATACTGTACCAATTGTAATACACATAGGATACTCCAGAAATATCGAGTTGATTGGATTGTTCATAATATCGGCTATGTATGCAACAAACATTAAAGCGCAGTAATTACGCAATATAAAGCCGTGTATATTACGAAGCTCTGGGAGTATAGAATATACTAAAAATATTATTAGCAAAAACAGCATGGATACGACACGTAGAATCCAAAATATCATGATTTTATATACCAACTGACTTGCGGCATTATTAGGATCACTAATTTCCTTTCTCATAAATTTCTTTATAGTTTTCGAACAGACTGTTATATCAAACTTATTCTCGTCCACGATGGTCACACAATAGAATGTTGGTTCAATCGATATTTTATAATAAGGAAAATATAAAGAACCATTAACAAGAACTATGTATTTGATGTGATTATTGTATGAATCAAGCGAAAAACTTAGTTCAATTTCATCGCATGGATCGCGAATAATCAATCGAAAAAGTTCGTTCGCCTTTTTATTTTTTTTACGCAACAAATTGTTTATATATCTGTATAGATTCAGAAAATAATATTCATTTTCTTCAGCAACGCATTTTTCTTTAATCAGATCGTCACGAGGACAGCATACTTGAATACAGGTAATATTGTTGCACATTTCGTATGGAACAAAATTATTTTTATTATTATTTGTATTGAATTTGTTTAAAAAATTGTGCGACGTAGAACCGTTTTTATCTTCGATTTTCATCCAGTTTTCATAAATTTCATGTGAAGTAAAGTTTTCTTTGCCGTCGATCTCGCTTGAGTTTGTGCTCTGGTGAGACTCCATCAGTATTTGATTATTATCATTCTTATGATTTTTTATAAAATGCGTTGCAAATTCATTTCGCATCGAATCGTTATTCTGCAAGTTACTCATAGTGCTATACTCATATTTTATGTCATCATAATGGATATCTTTAGTAAAATTGTCATCCAAATTATATCGCATTGTTGTAATAATGCTGGTATAATTTTTTACAGAATTCGTTTCTAGTTCATAAAGCATTGTCGAATCATCTTTCTTGTTGTCATTTGTCAAGTTTTGCTGTTGCTTCGAAGACGAAACGACGAACAAAAACGCACAACAATACCAAAAAACAAGATTTTTTCCGTACATTGTTTCAATCCTTTGAAACATTGAATTTGTTTAGAAAAATATTTTTTTTCATTAGTTTCATTATCAATTCATAGTCTCATACTAGTATTCCATTTGTAGCGAAATCTAAACTTCTGTAATAGAATAATAAAGAATATTATTTTCTCGTTTAATTATATAATTTTTGTAACAACTTTCGCTAATTGCTTACCATTCTGTAATAGAATAATAAAGAATATCATTTTAATTTAGTTTATATAATGTTTTTATAATGTGTACAAAATATGTAATAAATGCTTAATAATTATTAGATTGACATGATAATTTTAAGAGTTTTTAAAGCTTTTTCAGTCTGACAAGCGTATAATTTTTGTTTAATTCAAAAAATTTACAAATCTAAGAATATGTTAGAGTAATTAAATAATCAAACAGTTGTTACTTAATTAAATAATAATTGAAAAATTCTATATTAAAAATATATATGTTATATTAAACATGTATATAAGATAATCTCTTTTATTCTTATAAGTATGTAAATATATAAAATAAATATAAAATTATATACGTCTCTCGTTTTTCATTAAAATTACCGAGTGATATAAAGTAGATCTCATTTCTGCAAATGTTTTAAATCGTGTTAAAATATCTTTTTGGTTTACATATTTATTTTTAACATTTTTTACAATTTTTAAACATTTCATATAAAAATCTTCTCTAGTATGGTTACATACAACACAAAAAAACACACACATACAGTGAATAATATTATATTAACTACTGATATACAAATGTTTTAATTTGATAATTTTATTTTACACACATTTTATTTAATAATTTTTTAAATAACAAAACTAAATTTATAAAAATTATTTAAGAATTAGTAACGTTGATAATATATCTTTTATCTAAGTTATTACCATTTTTACCATTTTTACAACGATAAAAACATTCTTAAATTATAGTAAATCAATTTTCATTTTTTTATTGTTATCACTTATAATTACGTTCGATGTTTTGTTATCACTTATAATTACGTTCGAAAAAAACGCGCAGAGAATATATATACAATGGTATTCGTTCGAGAGAAGAATTAAAACTACTAGAAAGGATGAATCGTCGACATTGAAGCGATGCGGATCTATTACCGGAACCAGTTATGTAAATGTTTGTATTTCTACACGGTACACGGTACATTGTACACGATATTTAATCAAAATGTATTCATATTTTCTATAAGCTTTGAGTTTCCTAATTTGTCATTTATATTTTACTAAAGAACTTATCAACAAATACAGACAAGAATATAATGATTTCTCCTTTGAACCTACATATAATATTTATACATGTTTTCTAATGGCGCTAAAGGATCCACACTGAGATGAGATCTCTGAGATGAGAAGAGATCTGTTTTAGGCTATAATAATAATAATAATGAATCTTTGATTGACGAATATAAAGCTCTAATTGTTAGATGTAATATGAAAAACAAAAACGCTTTGATACATATTTCTTATGAAAATTTACACATTTAAATATATACATTGGTCAAAAAAATTATCGCAACACGCAATTAATATCAAAATTTCGCGTAAATTCAAATAAGCGCATCTCCGCGAAAAATTATCGTATTTCACATCTTTTTTTGTTTTAAAGGATAAGGTCTCTACTTTGACAAACAATTTCGTTCGATTTATTCTTTACATACATAAATTGCTTACAGAACGTTTGAATAGTTGCATTTCTACGCATTTGTAAAATTCAAATTAATGGTCTGTCTCTATCTGATCAGACACATTTTTCGCACGATTTGTTGTTTAAATGTGTTAACTTCTTTTACAAGGAAGTTGTTCCTAATGTAGTAGTGTTAGTATGTTTTGTAACAGCTGCAGGCCGTTTAATCTTTGGAAACACACTACAATTTTGACAGCCGAATTGCTTCAACAATTGCTGTTTGATCGTCTTCTTACACACAAATACGATAAATATACCAAAGCTTTGCATCATGTCCATTGAATAGATAAGAAACTGATGCCATATTTTTATTCCAAACTTCCAAAATAATATCGCCATAATCCACGTTACTCCAACCATAATAAACACTATGACAAACAACTTGAAGTACAATTTAAACCTGCAAGTTAATTTATATCTTACTTTCTGAAAAACTGAATATTGACTATAAAAATCATTATTTACTAAACAAAATTTGAACGATATAATTATATATATATATATTAAGTTGAAATTAAGCCCTATGCAAAAAATATCATTCAGAAATAATCACCTGTCTTTCTTTCTCTTTCATGTCGAAAATAAGAAATGATCAAAGGAGAATGTTAAAAAAGATTCGAATTCCATAAGTAGGAAAAAAGGCTATCATTTTTATATCTCATATGCTGCATAGATACTCATGGAACTCAAATTTTAAGTTCCATCGATAATCGCGAAATCGACCTCTTTAACATCTTTCTTTGCAATATTATAAGCAGAGTATAAATTACATATCATTAATAAAAACAGATTATTACATATTGTGATGCAAAGATGTTTAAGTACAGACCATTTTTTATTTTTATGATAAAGTCGACTTTCCGAGTCTTTCATTTGCTGAGCTGTATCCTTCTCATAGCGCGTAATCTTCAACGCTGTAATGATAAATAAGCAGATGCTACTAAAAACACAGATAAGTATGGGTGGCCAGTAATATATTAATTCTGCTCCCTCTTCTAAAAAAAATCTTGTATTAAATCATATTTTGCAAATATATATATTTTTATTTTAACACATAATTTATTAGAATCAAACATATAATATAATTATGCCATTTTTAATAAAGTTATCTATTAATAAAATGTGTACTTACCATTAAACCAACAATTCAATATACCAAGTTTTGGCGGAATCAAGTATTCCGACACGCAAGGAATGAAATTTATGATAACACAGATTATAGTACAAATGAAGGAACTTCCCCACGCGTACAAGGAATACAAGATCATTTTCTTTCTTTCTTGTTGTTTCCCGCTTCTTTGTAACGAATTAAAATCTCTGCAAAATAACATTTGTATTATACTTTTAACCATAAGAAACAGAAAAAATATTATTTTAAATGCATATTGAAATAAAAATTCTCTCTTGAAAGTCTGCTTTAGTTAGTATTATAAACCAGTTAATATTATAAATATATGTATATGTTATGTTGCATAATATATTATAAACTTATAAAAAATAACTGAATATATAGAATATAAATATATATATTTCATAATTTACCTAAATGTCCACCACATGTCAAAACTCATCACAGTTAACCAAAAACAAGTGGCCAAATAACAAAATAACAGGCTAAAGCTACAACAACAAAATAAACAATGTCTCAATTAGTGAGTTTATTTAAAATTATGAGGTACTAAAATCTATACGTATGAAAAAATTTACTTCAATTTATTGATAAGTTACAATAAAAAAACATAATTCATACAAAAATGTATATTAATATTACAATAAATAATACTTTATTTAAAGTAACTATATATATTTTAACAACAAAAAATATATATTCGGACAAATCAAATTATATGATTGTATACATTCAAGTAAACAAAAAATTTCAAATTTACTCACTATAAATCCTTGTGTTTTAAAGCTTTAACAAGTTGTATATATTTAAATTTTATTATTAAAAAATTAATTCGCAGATACACATTGAGAAATCTTACAAATGTATATGCATCAAATATATTTTTGCATGACTTGAATATATACTGTACCGATTGTAATACACATGGGGTACTCCACATATAGCCCACTGACTTCATTGTTCATCATATCAGCCATATATGCCATAAACATTAAAGCGCAATAATTACGCAGTATAAAGCCATGTATATTACGAAGCTCTGGCAGTATAGAGTATATTAAAAATGTTATTAACATAAACAGCATAGATACCAAACGCAAACTCCGTATTATAATATAATGGTTTGAAATTTTTCTTGATATGTCATTATTATGATCGAGAGAGTCTCTAAATACTTTTTTTAAAGCTTTCGAACGGACGCTTATAACAAAGTTATTTTGATCCAGAGCACTAAGACAATAGTCTGTTGATTCAAACGAAACATTCTCAGAAAAAGAAAATAGAGTGCCGTTAGCAAAAATCGTGTACCATGTCGCATTATAGTCTAAATAACCCAAACCAATGAATTCAGTTTCATCATATGGTTTGCGAATGGTCCAGTGAAAAAGTCTATCCATCCTTTTATTTTTATTTTGCAACAAATTGTTTATATGTCTGTTCAGATTCGAGAAAATATATTCATTTTCTTCAGCAATGCAATTTTCATTAAGATTCAGATGTTCGCCGATAGGACAGCATAGTTGAATGCAGATAATATTGCCGCACATCTCATGTGGAACAAAATTATTTTTATTATTTGTATTAAAATTTTTTAAAATATCGTGGGACGTAGAACTATTGTTGTCTTCAATTTTCATCCCGTTTTCGTGGATTTCCTGTGTAGTGAAGTTTTTCTTATCGTTGATCTCAGTTATATGTGTGCTCTGTTGAGACTCCATCAATATTTGATTCTCATTCCAATGATTTTCTATAAAATGCGTTGTAAGTTCATTCCGCAATTTTGAATTATCATTCTGCCAATAATTACTCATAGTGCTGGATTCATTTTGCATATCGTCATATTGGATATCTTTAGTAGAAATTTTGCGCAAAATATATTGCATTGTTGTAATGTCGTCGTCCAAATTTTTCATAGAATTTATATCTACTTCATATAGCACTGTCGAATCATTTTCTTTGTTGTCATTTGTCAAGTCTTGCGAAGATGATGCGACGAGCAGAAACGCACAATACCAAAACACATGATTTTTTTCGTACATTGTTTCAATCCATTGGCACGTCAAATTTATTTAAAAAAAAATGTTTTTCATGTTAGTTTTATTTTCACATATAAACACACAGATTCTTTATATGCTGGATATTTAAAAATATGTTCGTGTTCAAAAGAGGTTCCATATTATATACATATACATATTTTGTATTAATATTTTACCTATTTTAAATATTACTTTGTTTACATTTTTATTTGTTAATATTTTTTTAATAAATAGTAATGCGAAGACTTAAGTCTATGAAAAATTATTCAGAGTTTTCACGTTGACAATAATATATATCTATTATTTCTGTTAAATAAATGATAAAGTTAAACAACAATTTAGTGCAAACATATATATTTAAGTGTAAATATAAAAATTGTTTATAATTTTTATTTATTTTTACGACAATAAAATTTTTTAATTATAATATAATAGATCAATTTTAACATTTTTATCACTTATTTAATTGCGTTCGATGTTTTGTTATCTTACTAGGTTCGATGGAACTAACAATATGTATCCGATTTTGATGATTTTTCTTTTCGAAATGTTTCAGAAAAAACACGTAGAAGATGTACGTACAATAGCTAGTATTCGTTTGAGCTGAGAATTAAAACTACCAGATACCTTAAAATCGTCGGCATTGATGAAGAAACGACATGTATATCTATTTCCGTAGCCAGTTATGTATATAAGATGATTCATCAAAATATTTCTGCAGAATTCTAGAGACAATATCTTGATTCAGCTAGCATTTTAGAGACATTTAACTCTTAATATTTAATGATTTGATCGGCGTCTAGGCACGAATTCTAATGTTTTTAAAGAATCCATAGAAACTGTAATAAATTAAACGAAGATTAAATTTATAGTAATTTTTATAATGACAAAGTAATGAAAATTGTGTTAAATAGTTAGTTATATAATTTATTCCATAGAAAGTAAATATGAAAAGACGCTTAGAAATAAAAGTGACAGTGACAAGAAAGTGTTATTTAAAAACCGGTCTTTACACAAACTAGTCGCCAGTTGCCATGTATTATTATATGTATATCGTTTGCATCATTAACGTTTATATATTTTGTTAGAAATTAAAAATAACATCAGATGGAACCGAGTAAAATTTTCCATTTTATACGTAATCTCGATTTGTTTTGCAGAAAAGACTTCTTCAACTACTTTTGATTTCTCGTACACTGAAATAAATGATTAAATTAATAAATATATTTATTTCAATACTGCCTAATACATAATTTATTTGAAATAAATATTTATCTCAGAAATAAATATTTGTATCGGCTCTCAATATAAAGAATATAAATATGATGTTTTCTAAATCGGCCAACAGAGCCAAAGCACGAAAAATTAATTATTCGGAACTGTATCTCTTGGTTTGAGATCACAAAGTTCCATATATAAATTAATCTCGAAACTTACATATGGAGAAATAGGCGCGAAAAATATAGGTCCGAAAAGTCGCTGAAGCGGGAAATATTTATCTGTTTTGAAGAGGATTTTCTTATATTAAATATTTTTCACTTCAAATCAAAATTTTATTAGTTTCAAATAAATGATTTATTAGACAGTATTGAAATAAATATTTATTCGAATTTAATAAATTTCTTTTCGGTGCAATATTGAAGAATACATATTAATAAGAATTAAATTGTATCAATATATGTGTGATATTATTGCAGTATGTGAATGTAGTACTTGTATTAATAAAATATTTAAAAATGATGTGCAAGAAAAATGCATGTATATCATATATTATCTGTTATATACATATATTTAAAAATAAATTTGGGAGTTTGTTTTATTCATACACTTGATTTTGATTGAATATCGAAATATATGCGGAAATATAAAATATATATTTCAGACACAAAAGTTTTATAACATTTTATGTATTTTCTAATTAAATCTGGATTTTTTAAAATCTTATATTTTTTGATATACTCTCTTTCTCTGTTATTTTTGTAAGTATTAAAATTTTATTAAAATAGAAAGCAATAAATATTTAATGCCAAATGCACTATTCACGTATGTATGATGATCGATATTTTCGAGATCATTCATGAGAAATAACAACTAACATAAACGTTACCTGTAACTTTTCGGAAACATAACAGTTACATAAAAGTTACATATTGTGTTTACTGGGATGTTGCGTTTCATGTTGCACATTATTAAATGACCGCAAGTTAAATATTTTTATAATTGCACATGCGTACACATAAAATTCAACATAATTATACACCATAATATATAGATAATTTCAACATTACCGAAATCTTTAGATATATACCTTTTCATCATTATATATTGTAACATTATGTGTATATATATATATATATATATATATATATATATATATATATATATATATGCTTAACATCTAAATATAAAACAATTATAAATTTTATAAAGTATTTTCAATAATTAAATACTTTGTATAAATACATGAAACCGATATGAATAAAAACTGTGTTGCTCAATGCTTTTTATTTTAAAAGTGAATGGCTAAGAGCGTTTAATGAAAAAAATACAAAGCCATGTATATTTCATGTTTCGAAAACAGAATCATATCTTGTCCCAAGAATGTTTTAAGTAGGGGTACATTTTTACGACGAAATCCTAGCTTGGCATACAAAATTTATACAGATAACATACTTGATAAATATATATAATTATTATTTCTAAAAAAAACTCTCTAAAATGAAATTGAATGAAACCATAATAATATTACAGAATGAGAACATTGTAATAGTAATATTATTGCTAAACAAAGAGATAGAACTCCAGGATCTAGAAAAAAATTTTAATTGGCAAATATTGATAAATCAACCCAGAGTTGCTAACTATATTGATTTATGTCTACCTAAGTTTAATTTGAAATTACTATTAATATGAAAGCTGTTTCACATAAGGTATAAGCAATTAGTAAAATATGTTTTAAATTGATACGAAATGAAGAATTTAGATAAATCTAAAAATTAAAATATTTCTTGCAGATTGGCTTAAATACAATATTTGAAGATAACGCGAATTTTACGCGTTTCTCAAAATTCCCTCTGAAAGTGAACAATGTGTTACAAAAAAATTACATAGAGATTAACGAACAAAATCCTGAAGTCGATGCTGAAACAGGTAATTTATCTATTCATCAATAATAGCAAAACTTTATGCCAATATTGTAATCATTACAATAGAAAATTATTGACTGCAGTTATGAAAATGAGGATGAAAAGAATAGTAATTAAACCAGAAAAATTCGTGGTAAATCGTCCATTCATGTTTGGAATTATACATTCATAATCCAACTAAACTCTCATTATTTTTGGGAAGCGTGCGTGAACTAGTCTTTTTCAGTGATAAAAGATAAATTGTAAATTCTATTATATTTTTAAGTTAATTGAAAGTTTATTTCATACTACATACATAAAGAATATTTAATTTTTTGAGATTGTATAATATTAAGTACATAGAGTTGAATATGCTTGAGTGAGATAAATGAATTTATTCCATATATATACACATAAATTGCTTACAGAATATTTGAACGGTCGCATTTCTATGCATTTGTAAAATTAAAATTAAAGGTCAGTCTCTCTTCGATCACACAAATTCTTCGCGCGATTTGTTTAAATTTTTTTTTTTTTTTTTTTTACAAAGAAGTTGTTCCTAATGTAGTGGTGCTGGTATTCTGTTCGGTAATAGATGTAAGCCGTCTAGTTTTTGGAAACACATTGCAATTTTGACAGTCGAATTGCTTCAACAATAGCTGTTTGATCGACTTCTTACACACGAATATGATAAATATACCAAAGCTTTGCATCATGTCCATTGAATAGATAAGAAACTGATGCCATCTTTTTATTGAACCAGAAAACTGCCAAAATAATATCGCCATAATCCACGTTACTCCAACCATAATAAATACTATGACAAACAACTTGAAGTACAATTTGAACCTGCAAGTTAATTAATATTTTACTTTCTGAAAAACTGAGTATTGACTAAGAAAATCATTATTTATTAAACAAAATTTGAACGATATAATTATATACATATATATATATTAAGTTGAAATTAAGGCGTATATAAAAAATATCATTCAGAAATAATCACCTGTCTTTCTTTCTCTTTCATGTCGAGAATAAGAAATGATCAAGTTTGTAATATTATAAGCAAACAGAGTATAAATTACATATCATTAATAAAAACAGATTATTACATATTGTGATGCAAAGATGTTTAAATACAGACCATTTTTTATTTTTATGATAAAGTCGACTTTCCGAGTCTTTCATATGCTGAGCTGTATCCTTCTCATAGCGCGTAATCTTCAACGCTGTAATGATAAATAAGCAAATGCTACTAAAAACGCAGATAAGTATAGGTGGCCAATAATATATGAATGCTGCACCATTTTCTAAAAAAAATCTTAAATTAAATCATATTTTGCAAACATAAATATTTTTATTTTAGCACATAATTTATTGGAATCAAACATATAATTTAATTGCAATTAATTATGCCATTCTTAATAAAGTTATCTATTAGCAGAGTGTGCACTTACCATTAAACCAACAAATAAATATACCAAGTTTTGGCGGAATCAAGTATTCCGACACGTTAGGAATGAAATTTATGATAACACAGATTATAGTACAAATGAAGGAACTTCCCCACGCGTACAAGGAATACAAGATCATTTTCTTTCTTTCTTGTTGTTTTCCGCTTCTTTGTAACGAATTAAAATCTCTGCAAAATAACATTTGTATTATACTTTTAACCATAAGAAACAGAAAAAATATTATTTTAAATACATATTGAAAAAAATATTTCTCTCTTGAAAGTCTGCTTTAGTTAGTATTATAAATCAGTTAATATTATAAATATATGTATATGTTATGTTGCATAATATATTATAAACGTATAAAAAATAACTGAATATATAGAATATAAATATATATATTTTATAATTTACCTAAATGTCCACCACATGTCAAAACTCATCACAGTTAACCAAAAACAAGTGGCCAAATAACAAAAATAACAGGCTAAAGCTACAACAACGAAATAAACAATGTCTCAATTAGTGAGTTTATTTAAAATTATTAAGTACTATAATCTATACGTATGAAAAAATTTACTTCAATTTATTGATAAGTTACAATGAAAAAACATAATTCATACAAAAATGTATATTAATATTACATTAAATAATACTTTATTTAAAGTAACTATATATACATTTAACAACAAAAAATATATATTCGGACAAATCAAATTATATGATTGTATACAAAAAATTTCAAATTTACTCACTATAAATCCTTGTGTTTTAAAGCTTTAACAAGTTGTATATATTTAAATTTTATTATTAAAAAATTAATTCGCAGATACACATTGAGAAATCTTATAAATGTATATGCATCAAATATATTTTTGCATGACTTGAATATATACTGTACCGATTGTAATACACATGGGGTACTCCACATATAGCCCACTGACTTCATTGTTCATCATATCGGCCATATATGCCACAAACATTAAAGCGCAGTAATTACGCAGTATAAAGCCGTGTATATTACGAAGCTCTGGCAGTATAGAGTATATTAAAAATGTTATTAACATGAACAGCATAGATACCAAACGCAAAATCAGTATTATAATATGAATGTTTAAGAGTTCTCTTGCTTTGTCACTATCATGGTCGAGTAAGTCTCTATATGCTTTCTTTAAAGCTTTCGAACGGATGCTTGTATCAAAGTTATTTTGATCCAGAGCACTAAGACAATAGTTTGTTGATTCAATCGAAACATTGGTATAAGAAAAAAACAGAGTGCCGTTAGCAAAAATCGTGTACCATGTCTCATTATAGTTCAAATGACCCAAATTAATGAATTCAGTTTCATCATACGGTTCACGAATGGTCCAGTAAAAAAGTCCATCCATCCTTTCATTTTTATTTTGCAACAAATTGTTTATATATCTGTTCAGATTCGAGAAAATATATTCATTTTCTTCAGCAATGCAATTTCCATTAATTAGATGTTTACCAATAGGACAGCATAGTTGAATGCAGATAATATTGCCGCACATCTCAAGTGGAACAAAATTATTTTTATTATTTGTATTAAAATTTTTTAAAATATCGTGGGGCATAGAACTATTCTCGTCTTCAATTTTCATCCCGTTTTCGTGGATTTCTTGTGTAGTGAAGTTCTTTTTATCGTTGATCTCGATTGCATGTGTGCTCTGTTGAGACTGCATCAATAATAGATTCTCATTCCAATGATTTTCTATAAATTGCGTTGTGAGTTCATTCCTCAATTTCAAATTATCATTCTGCCAATAGTTACTCATAGTGCTGGATTCATTTTGCATATCGTCATATTGGATATCTTTGTTGTCATTTGTCAAGTCTTGCGAAGACGATGCGACGAGCAGAAACGCACAATACCAAAACACATGATTTTTTTCATACATTGTTTCAATCCATTGGCACGTCAAATTTATTTTTAAAAAAATGTTTTTTATGTTAGTTTTATTTTCACATATAAACACACAATTCTTTATATGCTGGATATTTAAAAATATGTTCGTGTTCAAAAGAGGTTCCATATTATACATATACATATTTTGTATTAATATTTTACTTATTTTAAGTATTACTTTGCACATTTTTATTTGTTAATATTTTTTAATAAATAGCAATGCGATGACTTAAGTCTATGAAAAATTATTCAGAGTTTTCACATTGACAATAATATATATCTATTATTTCTGTTAAATAAATGATAAAGTTAAACAACAATAATTTAGTGCAAACATATATATTTAAGTGTAAATATAAAAATTGTTTATAATTTTTATTTACTTTTACGACAATAAAATTTTTTAATTATAATAGATCAATTTTAACATTTTTATCACTTATTTAATTGCGTTCGATGTTTTGTTATCTTACTAGGTTCGATGGAACTAACAATATGTATCCGATTTTAATGATTTTTCTTTTCGAAATGTTTCAGAAAAAACACGTAGAAGATGTACGTACAATAGCTAGTATTCGTTTGAGCTGAGAATTAAAACTACCAGATACCTTGAAATCGTCGGCATTGATGAAGAAACGACATGTATATCTATTTCCGTAGCCAGTTATGTATATAAGATGATTCACCAAAATATTTCTGCAGAATTCTAGAGACAATATCTTGATTCAGCTACCATTTTAGAGACATTTAACTCTTAATATTTAATGATTTGATCGGCGTCTAGGCACGAATTCTAATGTTTTTTAAGAATCCATTATTGAAACTATAATAAATTATACGGAAATTAAATTTATAGTAATTTTTATAATGATAAAATAATATGAAAATTGTTAAATATTTAGTTATATATATTCTAAATTTTATATTATATTATATTTAATTATATATTAATTCTATTTAGTAAATATTTAGTTATATACTAAATGTTTTACATGGTCAATAAGTTTTTTCCGAAATACAATAAATGCGATGTGATATAATTTCAAGGAGAAATTTTATTTATACTGACAGCAAAAGAAATCTTGATTTGTTGTCTTGGGCTACAAAACATATATGATTAATAAAAGTAGAAATTATAATGTTATCATATAAATATAAGTAATTGGTTAGTATGCATAATAATCGCTAATTATACGTAAAAAATTATTAGTATTAATAATAAAGTTGGTACAATAAATTTCCATCAAAATAATCTTTATCTTTAATTTAAAACCGGTAATTTTACATAAATCAAATTTTTACAAGTAAAATTATACGTATATCTGCATATATAAAATTTATTAAATTTATTAAAATAATTGATAATTACGTATATATATTTGTCGGTAATTATATATAATTTGCAAAATAATAAAGTTAAATATATAAATCTAATGTATTATACCTATACCTATATGTACGTATTACATATGTTGATATTGTATTATGACGTTCTAATTACTAATACATATATTTTTACTTTATTCTATAGAAAGTAAATATAAAAAGACGCTTAGAAATAAAAATGTCAGTGGCAAGGAAATGTTATTTAAAAACCGGTCTTTACACAAATTAGTCGCCAGACACCATGTATTATATATATATCGTTTGAATCATTAACGTTTATATATTTTTTTAGAAATTAAAAATAATATCAGATGGAACCGAGTAAAATTTTTCATTTTATACCGAATCTCGATTTGTTTTGCAGAAAAGACTTCTTCAACCACTTTGAATTTCTTGTACACTGAAAAAATATTATTAAATTGATAAATGTTTATTTATGCTGCCTAAAAAATAATTTATTTGAAATAAATATTCATCTCTGTTCTGGAAAGGATTTTCTTATATATATTTTTCACTTCAAATCAAAATTTTATTAGTTTCAAATAAATGATATTTTATTAGACAGTATTGAAATAAATATTTATTCGAATTCAATAAATTTTTTTCGGTGTAATATTGCGGAATACATATTAATATAAGGATTAAATTGTATCAATATATGTGTGATATTATTGTAGTATGTGAATTTGTATTATTTGATTATTTGTATTAATAAAACGTTTAAAAAAATGATGTACAAAAAAACTGCATATCATATGTATTAATCTGTTATATATTATAGTTGGAAATAAATTTGAAAGTTCATTTTATTCATACACATAATTTTAATTGAATATCGGAATATATGGGGAAATATAAAAATATTTTACACACAAAAAGTTTTATATTATTTTATGTATTTTGTATGATTAAATCTAGATTTTTAAAATCTTGTATTTTTTGATGCCCCATTCTCTGTTATTTTTGTAAATGTTTAAATTTATTATTAAAACAGAAAGCAATAAATATTTAACGATAAATATATATATATAATAATATATAATTATATATAATAAATATTTAATACCAAATGCATTATTTACATATGTATATGATGATCGATATTTTCGAGATCATTTATAAAAAATAAATTTTAAACGTTGTGTTACGTATATATAATAAGTATATATGTTTTACATCGAATGTCGCGTTTCATGTTGTGCATTATATTATTTAAATGTAAGTTAAATATTTTTATAATTGTACGTATATACATAATACACATAAAATTCAACACAATTATACGCCATAATATATATAGACGGTTCAACATTATCTTTAGACATAAATCTTTAGACATATATATAACTTTTCATCATTATATATATATATATATATATATATATATATATATATATATATATATTATTGTAACAATTGTGTGTGTAAAACACATAAAATATAGTAGTGATGAGCTGGCATATTATCGGTAGAGTCAAGTGTTTCGCAAGGAAAAAGTCCTGGAAAAATATATATGAAATTTTTTTTCCGGATACAGTTCAAAAAGAATCCTATTGAAACAAATTCAAGATTATCTCTAAAAATCAGGTGAGACTCACTTAAATTTTGTACAAAAATTATATATTTTTTTGCGCGGTTTTTTTGACAGTTTTTTTAACAGCTGACAAGTGGCACACTTAGTCTAACCTAGAAAAGTCTAATGGAGAAAAGCCTTGATCGAATAATCAAATATAATAGGCTAATTTGGAATTTTTGGATTCTTATGCTTCTTCAAAATATTACTATAGTTAGTCATTTAAAATATTAATTAATCATTAGCATTTAATTAAAAATATAGGAAGCATTAGAGAAAGCTACAATAAGATATATATCAAGTTTAAATATTTCTTCCTTCAGTGTATTATATTTATTTTTGCACATACTCATGAAATCACAATTGCCACAATGTTTAAGAAGACAGGTAATATTAATGCATTAATGTTATATATATATTTGTTCTGCTTTTTTTACTGTGTATAAATTATTAGTATTATCTGAATAATCATAGTATCCTAAATTTTTAATGTATTCATTGCAGCGTTGTATGTGATAATCATTTCTAGTACTATTTTTCATACACTAGCAATGTCGTCAAGTGATAATAAGTCAATTACTTTATTTACTGCATCTAATAATTTTATAAATCAATTGTACAGGGTATGTAATCAATGTACTTTTATCTTCAATTCTTATGTAAGCTTCGCATTTTCTAATTTGTCATTTATATTTTATTACAGAATTTATCAGCAAATACAGACGAGAATATAATAATTTCTCCCCTGAGTTTACAAATAATATTAACCTTACTTTCTCATGGCGCTGCAGAATCCACATTGAATGAGCTAAGATCTGTTTTAGACGATACTGAATTTTTGACTGGTGAATATAAAGCTCTGTTAGCCCAATTAAATGTAAGATAAAAACAATAATATTACAATATATAATTCTTCTGCAAAATGACACATTTAATTATTTTTTAGAATATTAATAAGGCCACATTGTATTTAAGAAATGCAGCATATGTTCAAGAGGAAGTTGATATAGAGGGAGATTTTTTATCAGTATGCATGAATATTTTTGAATCTTTGATTTCAAAAGTAGATTTTGGAGAACCAAGTACTGTGGATATTATTAACTCATGGATTCTTACAGCGACAAATCATAAGATACGGAATGTAATATCTGCAAGTATGTTGCTTATACCTCACAAATAATTAAGATTTAAATATAAATATAGCTTTTTAAATGTTTTTAATAATTAACGTTTTGTGAATAGAGGATATCGATAATGATACACGATTTCTGTTGCTAAATGCTATTTACTTTCAATGTGCTTGGCAAAAAATGTTTAATGAAAATGATACTACGCCACGTTGGTTTCATGATTCACAAACATCATATATGGTCCCAACAATGTATAAAAAAGCAACATATTTTCATGGTGAAATTCCAACTATGCATACACAATTTATCGAAATACCCTACTTGGTAAGTAATTATTGTTTTTAGAAAAATTTCAAAAATAAAATTCAATAAAAATAATATTACAGAATGAGAACATTGTAATGGTAATATTATTGCCATATAAAGAGGCAGAACTGAAGGATGTAGAAAAAAATTTTAATTGGGAAACAGTAGTAAATGCACACAGATCTTCTAACCATTTTAATTTATATTTACCTAAGTTTGAATTTGAAAATACCATTAATTTGAATGATGTTCTAAATAAGGTAAGCTATTTGTAAAATCTTAAATTTATACGGGGAAGAGAAAATTTATTTAAATTTTAAAAATTAAAATTCTTGCAGATTGGCTTGAAGACGATGTTTCTGAAAAAAAGTGCGAATTTTACACGTATCTCATCAGACTTATCTCTGAGTGTAAGCACTGTGTTACAAAAAGTGTTTATAAAGTTTGATGAAAGAGGTTCTGAAGCCGCTGGTGTAACAGGTAATTTTTCTGTTAGCGAATAATAAAAAAATTCGATGCTAATATTCAAAGCATTACAATGAAAAATTGTTGATTGCAGGTGTTGAAGTGAGATTAAAAAGAAGTGCCATCTCACCAGTAGACTTGTTCGTAGATCGTTCATTTATGTTCGCAATTGAACATAAACCAACTAAATTGCCATTATTTTTAGGAAGTGTGCGTGAATTAAGGACTTATATTAAAGATGAATTATAAATTCTATTCATATTCTTAAGTTTATTTATGGAAAGTTTATTTTATACTATGTAATACTATGAAGAGGAATTAAGTTTTTAAGATTTTATTATACTATATATATATAGAATTAATATATTTATAAATAAAATACATACATTTTTCGAGAATATGCTTGTTTGAGATTGATCAATTTTACTGCCAACAAAAATCCGAATTATGTACAAAACATCAACTAATTTTAACTTTATATGCATCATGTGCAAATGTTATTCCTTAAATCATGACAAATATTAAAAAATATCGAGTACAATCACATTTCTTATCACTGTCTTTTATCACTATATTTTATTATATTTTATATTTACTTTATATTTGTAAATATATTCTATAATTATTGTATTATATGTAAAAACCAAATTCTTGTCGCAAAAATATTAAAACTCACAATTTTTAATTATATATACATTGTAAAATAAATATCGATATTTAAAGATTAAAGGCATGTAGCAAGTTAATTTAAAAAATAGTTGAAAAATCTTTTATTTTCAACTATATTTTATAAAGTGTATTTACTCGAAGTTAATGCAAATTATATTTACAATCGCTAAAATTAAAATTGAAAAATATACCACATATCGTATTAATTTTTGTAGAAAAAAGTTTGTCTCTACTTTACTCTAAAGAGTTATAATTACACGAGTTGTTAATATATAGCGCTATATATATATATATATATATATATATATATATATATATATAGTATGTATTATATAAATATAACATATATTTTATCTTCTTTTTTCCAAGATTCAAAGATCGTAAAAAAACTGACGAATTTCATATGGTAATATATAATCATAAATGTCATCATAAGTAGATTTTAATATCAATAATTATATTTCCTTCTGATTTTATCTCTTCTTACTCATAATACAATCAAATCTCAATACTCAATAAATATCAAATAGGTATTTTCTTATATAAATATAAATTGTGTAATTTTGATTTATCAATATAAAAATAACTCTAGATCATTGCTTGACTCGATATTCATCCCATAAAAATTAAAAATCTATATTTGCGGAAAGGTTTGAAAAAATAAGAAATACTTTTATTTTTAAGCTAAAGCAGAACGTCTATTTATTTGTTTCTTAACATAATTCTACAGCAATGCATAAATGTAAAATAACATTTTAATGTTATCTAAAGTAGAAAAGAAATTTAATTAAATCCAATTAAATTGTGTAACGTTTGGCCTCATCCGTTAATGTAAAACAGAACTCTTGTTTTCCTTGAAACATTTAACCAAATTGGCTCCTTTTTGACAACCACTTCCAGCTAAAACAATATATTATATTAACAATCTATTTTACTCTATTTCCATTTTAAACGACTGCTCATAATATCGTAAGATTACACAGGACGTTAATTTAGCAAACAAATAAAAATCAATTTTATCTTTCTAAATCAACATTATTGCACTTACCAACATTTTGGCAATTAGTTTGTATGCGCTCGATTTGCTCTTGTGATAAACTGGACGGTGCTTTTGCACGAGCTACTTCCCAGTCAATGTCTCCATTTGCATTTATCTAAAATGTATGTAAAAATAAATTCGATACTTATCTATTAATTAATGCACTTCGACATAATGAGATTCACTATTGCGCACTTACAATTCCGATTTTCTTTACTATGCAATTAAGAAAGCAGGCTAATTTTTCGTCATTTACATCTATTTCCCCTTTTTTCGCATTTTCTACAACAGCTGTGAACAGATTTATGATATATTATATATTTATTATATATTTAATGTAGATTTATTACATCTACATGTAACTATATATGTATATATATATATACATATAGTTATACACGTACATATAGTTATACATGTTGTGTATATATATATATACAATGTGTGTATGTGTGTGCTTATTTAATTATTTTCTTATATTATTCTTTGCTTACTTGGATCCACGCCAGATTCAGCGATACAAGATTCTTTGTATTGTTTTAGCTTTTCTTTTTGTTCGTCTGTGAGACCACTACCCTAAAAATAATCATTTGCCTATTAATATTATTAATATTATTTTCTGTATATATGTATACATAGACACACATTTTTAAATATATTTTTGAGTAGTGTTTTATATATAGATATAAAAATATATTTAATAACTACTCTATATATAGATATATTAATATAATTACTAGATTTTAATAAATATACTAAAAGCCAAATAAAAAAAGGATGGACAACGTGAAAATGATGAAATATAAATACAATTTCAAGATTATCTATATAGATATATATATGTATATATACTCATATGGTTTCGCGCAATTATAGCAAACGAAACAACTGATTAATTAAAAACTCTAGTTTTATGTTATATACATATGAGCGTATTTCCAGATAAATCTTGTTAACATTAATGAGAAAAAAGATATCAAAAACAACTCTGACTTTCTTTTGCTTTTTACTTAGAATCTAGATATAATGATCTATAGAAAATGATGTATAGAAAATGCGTGTATGCAATGATAATTCGAATCTATAAATTATGCAAAAAAACTTTTTCTTTAATTTTTCAAAATTATATTAAAGTCATTTTATAATTTTTAGTGGAATATTATATATATATATAATAGTTATATATATATATATATATATAACTATTAATTCTTTTCTATAAAAATTAATTTTTGAATATGTATATATAACATATGTTTCCAATATGACATACTCCATTATAATAATATTCATTATAATTACACAGAAACAAAATCTAAATTATATACTTCCAAATCGAATTAGACGTATAGATATGATCCAATATAACTCAATTCTCTGATAAATAACTTCACAACAGTTAGATTATTTTTGTAGGAATATGCAAAAATAAATGCGTATATATAAAAATCGTTTATCACAAACTGCACTTATGACTCTAGATGATATAAAATAAAAGTATGAATTATGGATACAGTATATATCGAAACAAATAATATTACTTGTGCGAATCGTTCGTTTACAATAATTTGCAACAATATATAAAAATTAAGTATATTATATAAATAAAATAAATGAAAAAACTCAAGAAGCTTTTCTTTTTCAATTGTTTATTATTTGAAAATTATTAATGCCTTGACACTCTCGAGAAAAAAATCGTCTTCAAATAACTACAAGAATGCCATTATTTTGTAAGTGCAATGTGGCCCTGGAATACCTTGCATACACACATATATCATACTGCTGTTTGTAAAAATTGCAACACCATGAAGGAATAAATATGACATTAGCTCTGTGTTGCAATTTTCACAAAGATCAGTGTATATATATGTATATATATATATATATACGTATACATGTACATATACATTTCTGTTTTATTATTATATTTTATGTATATTATATTATAAAAAATAATCTTACCAGAACAGTAACAATGGTGAAAGCAAATATAATAACAATCGCCTTCATATTTGATTTCTGTTTCTTCAATGTGATGAAGCCTACGACTAAATAGTTACTGAATATATTCCTGAGATGTCTTGAGTTTTTATAGGTTGATTGAGATATAATGACGCAATACACAGATCTATGTATAGATATATACATATATGTACATATATACATTCTCTTCAATTTTTTTTTATACGCATCTTAAAGTGGGGAATCACTCGGGAGTTTGTACATTTGTCATATTTCTCACATATGTTATTATAATAGTTACATATATTATATTATAATTGTTAATGGAATACTAATGGCATATAATTACCATAGAAAACACATTCTGTTTTCAAAATATACTTTATGAAATCTTCAAAATTCTTACTATACTTGAATGATAGATCGCTCGAGATTTATTGTAAATAATTTGCATAATAAGCTATTATATTAATTTTTAAAAGTTTATTAATTAACAATTTTAAAAAAATCCAAAAAGAAGAAATTAGTTATTAAAATTAATTATATTGTTCAAATTTTTGATATTCTCAAAAGAAATTCACACATATTATATAAATATTGATTAATAAAGTATTTGAGATTAAATGTTGGATCTGTTATTGTATTGTAGTTAAATATACCTATAATTATTTATCTTATTTAGTGTTATATTGTAATTTTGATCAGATTTGCATTTAGTAAATAGCGACTTAAAAGTCAAATTAATCTGATTAGGAAACAAAAATTCAGATTTTTTAATTTAATATTCTTCTGTTTCTCATTTGATGCATTGACTGTTTATTTATATCATATACATATATATATTGATGACTACTTTTTTCTAACAATATTGTATTTTTCGCGCATATATTATGTATAAAATTCAAAAAGAAAGATAATACGTATAAAATTTTATTTAAACAATGAAGAAACATGAAGCATGTTAATAAAGTGAAAGATGTAATATACATATAATGACCACGATTATGTAACAATAATGCGGTACAGTGTAAAATAAAAAATTAAAATCTGACATCATTTAATAACATCCATTGAGAAAATGATAAGTGTAATGAGTACCAATTCTATCTCATTATTATTTCAATATGCACACACTAAAACCGCAATAATTGTTTTTTTTAGAAGTAAAGTTTAATAAGCGGTGATCATTAAGGAAAATTTACTTCCTGTCTTCTAAAAATAAAACTTTTAAGTAATATTTTTCATTTTATAATAAGTATCATGTTTGTATTGTAATTACCTAAAATAAATGTTGACTTTAACAATAAATATTACCTATTGCGGAAATCACCAATATACCTAATACAAGAAAAATTGTATATAATATAATCGGAATTCTTAGAAATATTGTAATTACACTAGTTAAAATTAATTCTCAGAGTCCTTTACAATAGATGTGATTATATTTACTATACTACATTATCTTAATTAATCTTATATAATTTTATGATACGCGATATTATCCCGTTAATTGAGATATGAATGCATGTCCTTCGCGCTATATGTGAAAAAATTATATCTAGCTAAGATTTAATATTTTATTATCCTAGTAGTAGTAAGGAAAATATTTGTTCAACAGATTGGAACAAAAATAATTACAGCAGACAGACACCAATTATGTTAAACTTACATTCTGTTAGCAGAACCTACTGAAATTCACGGAAAAAACTGTAAGAGCTCTCGAATTTAAAGCAAATTATATAATTTGTATCAAATTATATGTCAAGGTCTGCTTGATTTCTTTCATCAATTTATAACCATATTTTATATTCACACTTGTTTTATCTTCTACGTTTTGCTTTTGCCAGCATTTTGCTAAATTATATTTATTAAAATATCTGTAGCCTGATTAAATTCGTAATAGACATTTTATAAAATCTATCTTCGGCAGATTTACATTTAGTTGTTTGAATATATATTTATATATATTTGATCTCATTTCTTACATTTATCATATTATAGTAATAAATACTTTATTACAATTAAACTGTTCCTATCATTTAATATTATTGTATTTTGTACGAGGAAACTTGTTGATTATTTATCTTTCTTTATCGATAAAATACTCGTGGAAAATTAACGGTTGAATAAGCTAAAGCTAAAAGCAACAGAAGTAGATTTAGAAATTCTTGTTTATCTATAAAAGAGTAAACACGCATATTGTATATGAAGTCACAATGATAAATTCAGATAAGATCAGAATGAAAAAACAATTTAATTTGTTTTCCATATTTTAATTGATTAATAATGATTTACTGCTTAAATATATACAAATAATTTACGCCAAAATTTAGAAAAGTTTTTAAAAATTTTGTATAGTTCGAAATATTCTTTCGACTGCAGAAGTATTTTAATAATTCCATAGATTTGCAAAATTTTAACTTTTTTGTATACGTTCTGGGAAACAATAAAAGTCGTTTCTTACGTAATTTTGTGCGCAGAATCCAAAACTGGCTACAAAATGACTCTATCATTTCAGGTTTTCAACATAAATGCATTAAAATACCCCCAAAAAACAGCTATTTTTGTTATATTCATATTATTCAGACTCTGCGCACAAAATTACGCAAGAAACAACTTGTGTTTCCCAGAACGCAGGATCATGCATCTTGTCTTAGCCAATTTAGATTTTAATTTAATTCTTTTAGTGAAAATTAATAAGTTATAAGAAAATTCCACAAAAGAATTATGCTTGAATTAAATTCATAAAAGCCAGATAAGATAAGAATAAAAATAGAATAAGAACAAAACTGTATTGTATTTAATTTCAGATAGAATTTACTTTATACACACTTACTCACACACAATAGAATTTTAATTTAAATCTTACAATTATTAGCAAAGATCTTACAATTGTTAACAAAGATATTTGATATAAAAAACAGCTGCAATAAATAAGTAATTAATTTCTTATTTTAACTAAAGAAAAGTAAACTTCAAATCAATAGACTCGAATAAATCTGTTATTAAAAGCCAATTTTTTATGGTTTTAAGATGTAGATAATGGTATTAGGAAACGTTAATCATGTATAACTGTTATAATGAAATATACCGCGCCGAAGATTTCACGGAATGCCATTTCATTTAGACATCGTGTTGTTTCGCATATTTATTTTTTTGCTTTTTATTTATCACATTCACTTTGTGATTTCCATAAACTTATATATGATCTTATGGAGAATATCCTATAACAGGATCTCGCAAATTAATATTCGTAAAAGTTCATTCATCTCTAAATGAGATACAGTGATTAAAAAACAATTTTTTTTTCACAGCTTACCAAACATCCTGTTACTGGCCTTGAGTGCAAAGGTGAGCAGTAGTTATATATACTATATGTATACATATGTATAGTTGCCTACTCTTTCCTATCTTAAAATCAAATTTTTGTAAAATTTTTAAGTATGCATGCAAAACGATAGTTTGTAAAAAATCGTAGTTGTAAAAAATCGAAGAAATATGCATTTTTGATTTTATAATTTTTTTTATTACTGAAATCAAGAAAGAAAATTTAGTATTATATAAAATATTGTTTTTATTTATTTACAAATAAATAAAGGAAGATCTTTTCTCATATATTCAAGTAGAAATTATGCAATTATAGTAATCTTTGTATTAATTTTTGACAATCTATTTTTAGAAAGACACACATGCTATATGCCTTAAATATTTAAAGCGATTAACTAACTCAACTAGAATAATATTCAAAATAATTAGCAAGAACAATATCCAAGTATTTTCTTGATTTAAAAATATAACTAAGTGTCCTAAATATATAAAATAGTTTGTTACGCAACATTCATAATCGATTTTTTAAACCAGTTTTAACCAGTTTTAATTAAGAAAGAAAATATTAAACATAAAATTATGCTAGGTCTGATTTATCTATAAAAGAGTAAATGCGCATGTGTATGAAGACACAATGATAAATTCTGATAAGATCAGAATTAAAAATGTTTCTTAATTGCAGAGGTTGCATTTATTTGTGTTGTAAAGGCAGATAAATATGTAAAACTAATACAGAGAAATTTTTAAAAATTAAATTACTGTAATCTAATACTTTTTCATGATTAAACTTATGTTTGGAAACAGAAGATAAATTGACAAATTTATGCCATTAAAAAGATCTTATTGTTAATGCATTTTTATATTCAGCTAAAAAAAATTTCAAATATGAAAATGAAAGAATAAATAGATCATTTTGTAATATTTATGAAATTATTTCAATTGTGTTATATTGTTCTAATTTTAGAAGGGACAAACAAATAAAAAGATATAGATAATCGCGAAAATTGTTTAAAACTTATTTTAAGAAAAGAAAGGAATAAAAAGAATTTTGCGATTTTTAAATTTTCTTTAATTGTAAGATAGAAAAAATTTTCGCTGCGAGAGCCTAATGCTTAGCAATTCGCTGAGACAAGTCGAGGAACAATTTCGAAATTGAGATTTGAATTCCTTTTCCTTTCCTTTACCCCCCTAAATTGATGTAAACGAGAAAAATATATCAATCCGAAAAACCGGTTCCCGATTCAGCCAACTTTGTTTGCCGACTTGTCTTAGCGAATTACTAAGCATTATATAGGCTTTCGCAGCGAATATTCTTTCTATCTTGTTATTATATATATGATAAGAGCCGTATATTAATATTATTTGTTTCTTTAATTGTGTCGAATTATATAATTATAAGCACAAATTTTTTTAAAAACAAAGCTGTCAGAAAGAGATATACATATATATATATATAAAGATTAAAAAGTATTATTTTAACAAATAGATACCGCGAATCTTATGAATCGTTTATATAGAGTTAATTAATGATTTGCGTTGATGATATATGATATGAACTAAACTAATTATAAAAAAATATTCAAGTTTATGATCTCTCGATTTCTTATAGAAATTTATCACTAAACAATTCAATAAAATATATCAATGAAATACAATATCGATGCATCAATAAACGTTCCATATATATATATATATATATATATATATATATATATATATATACGTTTTTTTTTATTATTTATCATTCTATTTTCTATCAATATATCTATATATAAATATAATATACACTTTCGCGAGCAAAATATGTATAATTATATATATTCTTATACAAATTATTGAATCGATTGTACAAGTTGGACGTTGAACGAAATGACATTCAATATAATCTCTCGACAGAGGGAATGATTTTAAATTAATACTTTGAACTTTTAATAATTGTTTTTTGAAAATGAATGCGTAACCTACCGGAGCACGTCGCGTTGCCGCCTGTCTCTTCAAGTGTCACCGTGCAAATGAGTAGATAAATGGTGTAGCCGCGCGTAAACGATGTACATATATGTATGACTATATATTGAATGTCGTCTTTATATTTAGTCTCACCGTAGAAGGTATAGTAAAAAAATGTATGCCGAATATTTTGTTTCTTTTATTTCGAATTAATTTTTATGAAAAACTACATATTATTTGTACTTTGTGCACTTCTGTTGAAAACACTTGCACGCTTTTTAGTCGATGGCTGAACTAGGTGTTTTCATATTTCATGGTTTAAGGTTTAAGGTTAAGGAAGTGCTTTACTAAGCGGAGAAAAATAAATACTCGTCGAAACGTCAAAACAACGATTGTGAGAAGCGATTGTGAAACGATTGTTGATGAATTTTTGCATAAAAAAAGACAGTCATGACAATTCATAACTTGTATATCTTTTCGAAAACTGGAATGTTATTGTACTATGCTGAGTGGAACAGGTTAAATAAATCGGGGATAACGAAAGAAGAGGTAATCAAGAATGCAAATAATTATATCTAGTTGTAAAATATAATTTTTACTACATTATAGACATATTTGGTGATAATAAATTATTATGACGACCTATTCATTATTTTTTATTAGAAGTCATAAATTTTGAAGCATTTTCTAAACAATAATATAAAGAGGTACATAAATGTAAAAGATAATGTATTTACATTATAAGTATCAATTATGAGATATTATTAAATATTGCAAAATTTAATAAATGCGGTAATTCTATCAATAATTATGAAAGATATATTTACAAAATTTAGGAAGCAAAGTTGATGTATGGAATGTTGTTTTCTATAAAATCGTTTGTGAGTAAAATCTCACCGTTGGATCCCAAGGAAGGATTTTTGTATTACAAGACAAGCAAATATACTCTTCATTATTTTGAAACACCATCAGGTCTTAAATTTGTTTTAAATACTGATAATGCCAGTCAGAATGTGAGAGAATTATTGCAACAATTGTACAGAGAAGTAAGATTTTATACTTATGTTTGTCTTTAATGGAAATATAGCAATATATTTATATATATGTATAATTGTATATTTTTCATTTTAGGTATATTTGGAATATGTAGTAAAAATCCACTCTGCCAATTAAATGAACCTATACAAAGTGAATTGTTTAAAATAAAAGTAGATGAATTATTTAAAAAATCTCCTTTATTTTTAAGATCGATATAATAAAAATATAAAGCCTTTATATGCAAAAACGATTTTTAAAAATAAATATCAAATATAATTGTTTGTACATAATAATAAAAAATTAAATTTTTTTACACATTGTTCTTAAAAATATATATGATGCTTTAATATTAAGTTAGAACAATATTCTGAATCTTTTATTTATAAGAAAGAAATTTTATTTTCTCTTTATTTTTAATCTTTTGTAGTAGTTTATTTTGCCTTTTGGAGAATTATATACAATTGTTACAATATTTAATATGTAAAATAACAATATATATTTAAAAAGTATTTTAGTATTATTAAATATTAGTGATAGGCAAATACAGGCAAATAAAATTATATAATCTTATAAATTTGTATATGCCAGTATTCTAAATAAACTAAATTATAATTCTAATTAACATTTTTGTTTTTTGTGCAATAAAAATCGTATAATAAACATTTAGAATCATACATATACTTAAGTGCCATTCATGCTTGAATGTCCTAAATAATAAAATTAAAACTAAAATTTTTTTGATGAATTTTGTACATACTTTATTTTAATGAAAAAAAGAACAAGATTACTTTTATAGTAAAAAATATATAAGAATATTAGAATATATAGTTAAGCAAGATTATAGCGTATGTTAAGAGAGAAAGAAGAAATTATATAATGTATATTATAAAACATATAATTATATATGTATAATATATGCATATATTATAGAGTATATAATATACATATATTTGCAAAAAAAAGAAGAGAAATTTAATTAAAAATTACAATTATCTTTCTTTGCGTGATCTAATTTTGAGTCATGATACATTTGTACACATTTATAAAATTTTATAAAATTTTCATAAAGCATACAAAAGTCTGACTAGAAATTTAATATTCATACTTATGTGTAATTAATTTATTTTTTGGATATTTCTTCAAATTACGATATTTGTATAAGTTTGTAAAGATATTCTAAATCATAACTTTGGAAAAACAAGAATTTAATTATATAATTTTTTTAAATCAGTATGCATGCGATTAATATGTAATATTGTATATTACAAATTAATATATTTTTACTTATTATTTAAATGCATTACTGATTTAATATATATAAATTTTGTTTAAATATAATCAATACTATATTTATATATATACATGTGTGAAGAAGCTACTGCAATTTGTGTAAATTTAAAATCTGATTTTCTTGGGTATGTGTGTATTATATAAAGTTACTTCTTTTTTTTGTAAAAACTACTGATTAATTTATAATCTTTTCAATTTAAAAGAGTAAAATATATAAAACTGATATTTGTATGATAGGACATTTGATAGAAATAAGACTATTTGTCATATTACATATATTTTCATACAGCAAGGACAGATAGGTTTTTTGCGAAATATGCATATTCAAATATTCTTATATGTATATTAGCCAATAGATTAAACAACATGTAATACTTAGAGACGTAATGAGCAGTATTCGACTTATAAAATGCAACGATAATTCGCGACATTAACTTTCATTTTTGTGTATAGTTTTTCTTAGCTTGTATTGCCCGCCCGCTCGTTACAAACCGGATTTTGATAATATTCGAAAATAATCTAGATAGAATTTTCTAAATATAAATATAATAGAATTATTTTTTTAATCTATTATAATAATAATATCGGTACATGAAATATCACAAAAAGAAAATTTTGTATATTTGACTCTTTTTTTTCTCTCATTGTTTATAACGAATTGGAGGCCAGTACGTATACATATATATTTATATAATACGCTCACAAATTTCCAATATATGTATAATCACAGCGCAAATGCACACAATCACTAAAAATTACTTTACCGTACTTTTATTTCCTCCCTTGTAATATTCAAAGTATATGCATGTTATATATATATATATGTCATTATGTACAATCATCGCGCTCATTCAGCCATTATACATTATGTATTATGTAATTTAATACATATATACACTCAACAATGTATATACGCATCTATACATACGTCGTTTTGAGAGACACGTGCTATCATCGACATCCACAGGCTCAGTCTTAAATTTCTTAGCAATGCAAGCTTTCGTCTGTACTAGTAAGGCTTTGGCCTTCGTCACAAGGCGTGAATATTTGATTGCCGGAAATCTGTGACACTGTTGGTATCGGTTCCTCTATAACAGACAATCGTTTCTCGCGATCTGTAGATACCACTGAAGTGTGAAAAAATACATTTCTTAAAGTGGCCACATTGATGCGCTCCCGCGAAGTTTCATCTACAGGGCTCTCGACATTCAACTCGCCATTCAAATTCCTAAACACACAAACACAATAATTTATTAATAAACAAACGCAATAATTTAACGAGTTTAACTTAGTTTCATGATTCGTACTTAGACTTTTGAGATTCCGTTTCTGGTTCTGTATCTTTGTTTCGTTTACGGCTTCCCGTTGAACGATTATTCATTCCGCAGCTTTCCAACTTGCCACCCACCACCCTCTCTTGATCTGCTTCGATTACACTGACGTGATCATCGAATCGTACTCGTTCCGAACCACCGTCCTCCCCGCACATAGTCCAGTTACTTGAGTCGCTACATTGACGATCAAATGTGAGTTTACGACGAGTTCGTTTTGCTAAACCAGGTGCCACTTCTTCTAATGAACTTAAAGAAGTTGCCTGTCCAGCAGAGTCCATGTGACCGCCATTAGTAGAGCTGGCTGCTTGTTCTCCTTCTGTACTTCTGCCACCACTGATCGAACTACCATCAATCTATATATACATATAAAAGAGAATCGTTAATATAAAAATTTATTAATGTCAATTAAAATTAATCAAATTTATTATTTACATAACAAAAAAAATAAAAATGTATTCAACATATGAAGATGAAATATTTAATTAAACCTTAAAGTTGAGAACTGAGCCAGCCAATGCTCTTGTGGAGGCCGCACCATCGTCTAAAGCAATGGAAGCGTTTACGGATTTTTCTGACAAACTAGTAGCCGCGGAAGCTGTCTCGCTACACGAACTGAAGCGTTGCGTGGACGTAACGTCAGCCTGGACCTCCAGCCTGTGTATGTAAAGATATAGCTGTGCGTGATATATCACAGAAAAAATGACGTATTTTCAATCCACGCACGAAAGACTAATAATGTACCTTTGACCTCCGGGAAGTACGCTGGAAGCTATACTTCCCGCAAGACTAGTGCCAGCAAGGGCCACGTTGCTGGCGCTTTCGCGATCATTTTCCCGACCCAATTTCTCCAACTGACTGCCACTACCCAACGAAAGCGAGGCCTCCCCTATTGAAGGATTGCCGCCCCGGTGACTCGCGACGTCTATCGATGCCGCGTCTGCAACATCACAGTGATTTGATAAATGGATTCGATCGTAGAAAAAATTGACCTCGATGCGAGGTACGAATAGTCATGAGTGAGACTCGCACGTGGCGAAGAAGGATTTAATCGACGACACGTGCGTGCACGAATGTTGCGTGTTTACCTATGTTGCGCACGCCTAGAGCCCCCATCAGCTCGTTTTCGTCATCAAAATCGAAACGAACTCCGGTACCACTCGTGGAGACACCGCAACCTCCGCTTCGGCAGAGAGACACCGGCACCACTCCATAGACGTAAAACAATAAGATTGGTACGCCGATACCCACGGCTAATCCTGCCAATACTGGTGACACTAGAACCTGCGGAAAATTATAATTATTATTATTATAAGTGTCTCTCCTTGTTGGGAAAACTTTTATCTCTCATAACGCGTCACTTGTCATGACAAAAAAAATTATGATCAAAGTGTAGTCTATATAGAAGAGATAATATTGTTAGTGTCTTTAAGGCTTCCTTCTTTTGTGCTGTAAATAAATGTAGCCGACACCTGTCAAGTAATATAAATAGAAGCAGTTAGATACATCGAAGGCCATATACGATGTAGTTTTACGACGATAGAAAATAAAGAAATGCGAGAACTGATAAAAATTTAATATTGCTTGATAAAACTATGAATCGTATTCTTGACAAAAAATATATGATCGATTTAAATAGGTCATTCATAACATAATACCCGGTCTTATCTGGTTTTATCGGAACGATAACTAATCTTATCGTTATCTAGATGTAACAACTTCATATCTAACTTCGCATTCCTTATGTTTTTAGAATTTTATTTATCAGATGCGAGATGCGCAGAGACTAAAAGAACGGAAAACTAAGTCATTGTGTATGCACGTTGCATTTGCGTGGATATACATTTTCCCTCTTGTCATGTCTCTCTCATTAAATTGGATAGAAATAGAACAATAGGGTTGTCAGCTCGCGCAGTCATCGACATAGAGGGATGATAGCGGGAAATGTAGGCAAAGGCGCGCCGATTTTCAGATTCTCTGACAGATTCCGGAACGGAGCGACGCGCAGATCGTAGACGAGAGTACGCGGGGCGGAGAGGAGATCCGGGAGGGGCAGAAGGAAGAGGATATTGATCCGGAGTAGGCATGCGCGTACACCGTCATCTCCTCTTTCCACCCTGCAGCGGCGGTGGCCGAGGTAAGTGACAATGGAACATGCGTCGCGTCGGCCAGTACTTCTTCAGAGGTCCACGTCGCGCCGCGGCAATTAAGGGTAACTCGCTCCCGGTGAGCCTAGGTCGAGGAAGCAGCCCCCTCCGAGGGCGTGTCGAGTCCGAAGCAGCCGCCGCACTCCTCTTCTCATGCCGGGTCGTCGAACTATGCTGATCCGTCGCGAATCGGCGCAGGATCGGCGACGGCGGACGTAACCGGGAAGAGGCAGCGACACGTAACGAGGAGGGTTTCATTCAGCGACGGTGATTTCACGGTGTGGCAGACACACGTATATATACGTACGCGTTTATATATGTGTACGTATTGTAATTGAGTAGATGTGTATATAATATATAGTCCGCCGCACATCGGTGGGGCATCGTCATTCGGCAGCGCACATGCCTTGTTAACGCTGGCTGAGAGGCCAGACCGCAGTTGGCTGACAAGTGAAAAAAAAAAAACGTCGAGTTGTGCTGATTGTAAAGAAAAACTAATAGAAAACTACTAAAGGACAACTAGAACTAGAAGAGTCATCATGTCCGATTTGGATGATGAAACTGATACTTCGTGCGGGGAGGAGCAAATTGTCTCGGATTGGGAGGTCCAAAAGGAGTGGCTCGAGAGCATATTGTCGAAGTACCACGATGGAAAAGCGGTTAGTCATGAGACATTAGTCATTAGACGCGATATACGTAATGATATGAAATCTAAATATAATTTTAGAAAATCTTAGATGTAGCGTTAACGTTCAATTCGAGGATAGATGATAGTAATGATTTCTTCAGGTCGAAGTATTGAAGTTTAATGTAAGCCCCGGATGTACGACCAGCGAGAGCGTGTTGAGCGCTATCACCAGCGTTACAGGGAATTATTTGTTAGCACCGACGACGGATCCAACGAATAAACCGTCAGATAAGCGCAGACTGTCCATTATTATAAAACAACTTCCTAGAGATCCGTTTAGCCGATTCTTCGTGACGGAAGGTCAATTCGACCTCCGAGAGATTAAGTTTTATACACAGGTAAGCGATAAGATAATCTAGAATCTGTTCTTTCTGCTTGATGTATTCTTCATATTGCGTACTTTGTACTTCAGGTGATGCCAGATGTGAAAGAATTTAATCGAAGACAGCTAGGACCGAGTCCGGAGGAACCGATTATACTACCGGTTCCGGAATGCTATCACGCTCATTACAGTCCTGCAGGCGGAACTGACGACAGTCCAGTGCCGCCGGAATCGATCCTAGTGTTGGACGACTTGGGAGCTTCGCGCTTTGAGAGCGTCAAGTTCTCGGAAGGGCTGACGTTGGACCAAGCGACGGTCGCGTTGGACGCCATCGCCCGTATACACGCTCATTCCCTATCGATAAAAGTCGTAGACGGGGAATCTCTATCCGAGCGTTATCCGTTCCTTTTCCAAACGGCAAAAGCAACAGATTCGTATCAGCAATTGGTGGAGCGCGGTTTACCACAGCTGGCGCACTTTCTCGAGAGCAGACCTGGATTAGAAGCGGTCCTCGAGACACTCCTGATTCTACGACCCCGTACCAAAGATATCATCTCGGCTCTTCTCGCTCCCGAGGGTCCACTGGCGTTGATAACTCACACTGACTTCTGGAGCAATAATCTACTCTTCAGGGACACCTGCGGAAGTGCGGAATGCTACATTCTCGATTGGCAGATGGTTACTTACAGTCGACCGACGAACGATGTCGCATTGTTGTTGGTGAGTTCGGTGCCCACCGAGTTGCGCCGCAAACACACTGAATCGCTTTTGAACACTTACTGGGACAAGCTGAATTGGACGTGCTCGCGGCTCGGCCTAAATATTCCCAAAGACTTGGGTTACACCAGAGAGGATCTTGACAAGGATTACAGAAAGTCACAATTGCTGGCGCTTTTACTTTGTATCGGATCGGTGGACGTCGCGCTCGGTGATCCTCTCACGGAGCAACGACTGATTGATGTCCTTGAAGATTTATACAATGATGGGGTACTGACAGATGAAGCTATCGTTGCGACGAACGTAGCCGATTCATAATCACCGCTGCCACCATTAACACTAGCGTATGCACCGAAGAATTAATATTTCTATCAGGGCTGTGACTCGAAGCGAAGAGTTTCACATGAAGCAATAGATACTTCAATAGCCCATGTATGTAGAAGATGCAATCTTTGTGTTTCCGAAGGAGGTTTAAGCCAGCAATAACGCGGGCGACGAAGAAGATAGTTGCAAAAGGGCACGTCGGAAGAATATAATGGATTAGAAACTTGCGCTATTCTCTCGGTTTCTTCTCTTTGCGACGAGATTACTATAGACAAGCAGGACAAACGAATTAATCAAGATCAAACGATGCTTCAACAGTACTAAATGTCTCGATTATACATTAGTGTAAGCTTTGACAACTTATCGATTATTACTCTTAAAAGTTACAATGATATTTTAACTACTAGTGCAAAGTTCACCTGCAATTTGATGAAAGTAAAGATAAATACGGAAGCAAATTCTACGAGAAACTACGTTATAAAATTATTGATTTCTTATCAATAAGTATCAATTTTTACTGTATGAATTTTTTCACATTCAATTTTCTGCTCATACAGAAATTGCTGATGGACGTTACGCTGTGCCAAGTCATTAAAGATTTAGGCAAGTAGTTGTGATACAATTACGAAGATGAAATCAATTAGATTTGTGATTATAATGTTATAGAACATGCAACACAGTTGTAGAGTATGTTCGAAATGTACATGAAACATAAAAGTTATGTTCCATCTGCCCGAATACGTCCCGTGATAAACTTCTTCCGACAATTATTTCAGCGAGAACGCGCTGTTTTGTTAACGCTATATACAATTATTGTATTATCCATTTTCTCTGTATAAACTATATGGATAAAATATACCTTGATGTTATCACGAATAGCAAACTGAGTTTTTACTTTAGTTAGTACAGATAACAAATTTTTTTATTCTTCTCTTCTTTCAAAAAATTTACATGCTGAATTATTTATATTTTTACTGAACTTTCAAAAACTTTTCAAAGAATAAGAGAAACATTATAATGTTTAGAATAATAGGCAATACTAATTAATTATGAAAATCACGTAATTATCTAGATATATAATATTGTTCAAATATTAAATTTCTCACTTTCTCTCTTCAATGATTATATAAAGTACTTAATAAACTTACCGATGCAGTAACTCCCCAGCGATAAAAGCATTTCTCTTGTGCTTGTTAGCTTTCTCGTATCTTGTATACAATTTTTGTCCTACCCACACTGGTATACCTTGAATATAAAATATATGATATAGTTGTAATAACATGTTTTTCTTTTTTCAGTGTGATTTTCATGTTAACATATTTCTATATTATTGTAACATTTGTTAAAATATTACAACCAACCTATGATCATGGCCGGAAATGCTATACCAGCGACGAGACCGATTCCAATTGGTGCTCCCACCAGAGTTCCAAGCTGCCAAAGGATTTTTTTCTTTCTAGACCACGGTTTTTTACCCCAAAATGTGCAACCAGAAGGACTGCAAGCAAAATAAAAGAATTTAAACGTCTGTTATTTAAACATCTGTTTAGAAGTTGCATATGCACTCACAACTTTATTAAAATACAATACCTAAGATAATGAAGATCGCTTATTTCCTTCATGCAGAGCCAACAAAACTCTGCGCCACAAACTGCACATGTCATGTGATTACAGCTTCCATCATCCATCTTGACAATCAAAACCTGACATCTCGGACATGGTTTTATATCATCTCCTAAACGGATCACGAATTATAATTATTACATATCCAAGTTTAATAAATATTACTTTTTGTAATGTATAATATTTACTTACTATGTTGTGAATCACTTTGGCTGAAACTTAAGGAAGAACTACGTTCGTAATATTGAGAACGTTGCGCTCTTGCAGCATCACACGTTTGATTAGGATGCCAGCGAGCTTTACAATGATAGCAAAAGTACGAATCGCAACCAGGTCGCTCGCAACGTAATTTTGGACACGAGGCGCAACCGCTGGCGATTACAGCAAAACTGCAATCTGGAGCAGGACACCATCTTGCGTCGGGTTCTACTGCGAGGACTCTTCGAACCATAAAATCCTCGTACTTCTCTAATTGTGTTTGATCATTCAGGATCATCCGAATATCTGTATACATGAAAAAGTAACATAGAGAATCGTGAATATCAAGAGTTTACAAATCTCATAAAAAAACATATAAGATTTACAAATATAATTAAAATATAATATATTCACCATTTGGATGTAGCGGTTCAGAACACTCAGGGCAAGCAATATTGACTCTGGACTCAGAGATTTCTACTTTCAGATATTGTTGAAAACAATCATAGCAACTGCGATGATGGCAAGATTGGATAACAGGAAAAAATTCTATTGGTAGCTCGGCCAAGCACAATGGACATTCCATTAATCCATTCTCATTACTCTGAAATGACATATAGTGAAATTACATTATGCAGCATTATGCAACAAAGACTTAACAATAATGGTTCGTCATCAGATTATCATATCAGATCACATCAATAGATAAATAAGTCTATTGAAAGACTTTTTTTCAACATCCATACTATATAAATATGATTTGGCTAATACCTTTCCTGCAGAAGAAAGTACAGAGCCTTTGCTGGAAGCACGTTGTAGATCTATGTTGTGAAATTGAAAATGGCTCGATCCATTGCTTACTCTGGCTTCTCCCTTCTCAACATCTGTCATCCTGCCGCTCGTTTGATCTTTAGCTGCGCAAAAATATTCCATCTTAAAAAATCAAGTTTATTTTCAATTGTAATTTGCAACTTAATAGGGTCCATATGTTACCTTTTGCATTCCTATTACTTGCGCTAGGCGTTCTCGTGATGCGGCGACCGATGAGAGGACTGGAATACAATAATCTTCGCAGGGAAAATCGGGGAAATAGTCTCCGAGGACGAGGTGGTCCGCCGTTGCATCCTCCTGTTCCATTATCGTTTTCTTTAAACATCCTAAAAAGAACTGAAAAATATTACATAGCGTTATTATAGACTCATACTCGCAATTATAAAGAGAGAAATAATACGTTTTGCAATCAAACTGTACAATTACAAATAAATGAAGATTTGAAATAATTTGAAGTTTTAATCAATACACAATTTATATTAAAAAAATTTTTTTAAGAAAATATCACATTGTGTAACGCATCATTATATTATTATATAATCGTCATATAATCAAAATAATTTGTGAAAATAATTCAATCAAAAACTGAAGTAAGTTCAAATTTGTACAGAATTTCAGAAAATAATTTGTGAAAATAATTCAATCAAAAACTGAAGTAAGTTAAAATTTGTACGTTGTAGAATTTCAGAAAATGTACAGCTGATTAAACAAAACTTTATTAATAATAAGATAAATTGATTAGAGAATACGTTTCGTTTTTTATACATAATATTTTATATAAATTTATAGATGGATATAAATATATATAATTATGTAATACACGAAAAATATCGCGAATATGTTAATAAAATAAAATAAAAACTCTGGTAAACTTGTAAATTATGTATCGTATTAATAACAGTCTTTTCACTGCTTTTATTCACTGTCAGCTCAATGACTCATTATAAAGACATGAATAAGTGACATTATAAAGATAATTAAAAACCTGACAAACGTATAATCATGTTTTCTCATTAAATGTTGAAAAAAATATTCATATTTATTACTGGGGTACCAAGACATGGTATGTTGCAAAAATAAAATCCTTGAGAAAATTTAATATACAACAAATTAAAATCAAGCATGTATAAATTGAATAAATTATCTTGTTTAAAATTACGGTTTTCAATAGAAATTTAAAAAAATACACATACTTAGCATCAAAGAGAAAATATAAAAATTATTAATATATATATATATATATATATATATATATATATTAAGATATATTAAAATAAAAATATGTAACACGAAAGATATAGAGGCAAGAATATCGAGAATGTTTCTTTCTCGAGAAAAATGTTAAAAAGAGATTTCGTTTCTAAGATATTTTTTTATTTTATTAGATTTATCGCAGTATAGCTGCTATATCCTCATCTCATCTGTTTTACAATGCACATTTGATATAATACTTTTAGAATAATGGCGACAGAGTTTTATTTTAGCTACGACATTGCACGTCAACTACGAATTCGATCATATCTTTAACAGTTTTTTGTCGAAATTAATTCACTGATTTCTCTGACAAGAAGCAATGATACAAGTCACAAAACACGATGATCATTGGCGATTTCACCGCGTCTATAGAATGTATGAATAATCAGTGTGTGTGTTGCAAAATCTTAAAGTCATGTAATGCGCACAGTTTCGACACACGCGATTCGAGGAAGAGAGATCGTATCTTCTCGTGTGTAAGGTACTTTCAATAAGTATTTTTAATATTATGTCATTCTTTTTAATATTATCTCTCTTATGTTAAAGTAGCTCCGGAAAATGTGTCATTGTAAGTTATAAGTATAAATTATTCATCTATTGTATTATATTACGATTGAGTAACGATCAATAATTAAAAAAGATATATTTAATTAAAGCAAAGTCCATTCTTAGGAGAATATAATTTAAAGAATAAGATTTTGTTATCTATTAAATAATGCATTATTTGTAATTTATTTTTGTAAGCTGTAATGTTTTGAACAAATAATTTATAAACCTTGTTTAATTATTATAAAATATAAATGAAATATAAAATAGAAATATCAATATAAATAATATATATAATATAATAACATAAATATATAAAATTTAAATATAAGTTTCTCATATACACGAAAGAGAAAGTTATATTCAAAGTTATATTCTATGACAAAATTTTTCGATATAATATCTATATAGTATTTCTATATTAATAAATTAAGTCTTTTCTATATAAATAAATTAAGATTAATACAAAATTGTTATCAGATTACAGTAATATTATACGCATTTCTTTAGCAAATTCTTTAAAGAGATCAAATAAAATTAATTGATTGACAAAAACCGTGTTATATTTTACCAATTAATAGATAGAATTAAAAGATATTAGTTAGAATTAATAAATAGCACAACAATTTATTAAATATGCTGCAAGTTAATTAGATGTTCTTTGCGTGCATAATTTATAAAAACGTGGCATCGTCCATCGTGAAAAAGCACAAAAGACGCAGAGCAGTAAATCTCCGCGACGAAAAGATCCGTCACACATAACTGTCATAGAAACGTTAAAAATCCTCTCGTCACACATCGGATGTCGAATAATTACTACTGATACACAAACCGTCTACAAACAAATACGCGTGACAGGCGAGTAAGGACAGATGCGTACTACGAATAATATGCTGAGATTCTGTTTACCAGTAGGAAGGCGCATTATATCTGTCGCTCTCTGTCTGTCTACGTCAACGAGCGCAAGGACAAATGATTTTTCCCGGTCTCACGACAAGAATATTAGAGATAAGGCGCGGTGGATTTCGTCGCGTTTAATCTTGTGCCGCGAACATCTCGCGCGTCAATAATTAACTCTCCTTGGTGCTAAAACGAGCCGAGAAACGACTTGTCTCTCGAGACTGATGAACAATGCGATCAGCGCGAGAACACGCGAGAACATACCTTCGTCGTATTATCTAGTCAGCTGGGTTGCCGAGGTATGCCGGCACCGCGACACGTTCCTGGATGCCCAGATCGCCCAGAACTAGACGAATATCCGTGCAATTTGTTGGTTAAGGATGTTCACTTGTGACACAACAGCTGACTGCTCAGATCGCAACGGCATTACGGGAAAGAGTCCGAGATCAGCTGATTGCGAGATAGTCACGTGCAACCGCGACGCGAGATGTACTGCGGCAGTGCCACCAAGCAACAATAATCGACATTACATGTCACGAAATTCAAAATGATAGAAATGATGCGAATTAATTTTTCGGTATGTATTAATTCGATAAAATATATAATAATAATAAATAATAATAAATAAATAAATAAATAATAATAATAAATTAATAATAAATAAGTAATTAATAATTAATTAATAATTAATTAATAATTAATAATAATGATTGTGGAATGTTTTATATTAACAAAGTTTATATAGTAATTTAACTCAATAGAATAGAACATAAAATTTTTGCATTATAAGTCGTAAATTATAGTGTAACTTTAATTGGCTTTAATACAAACATAACTAACTCTTGTTAATTACATAATTACTATACATATAATCATTGCATGACAATTTCGTTAATACTAGATAACACAAGCGCGCGCTTTGCGCGCGCCAAACAAATTATTAAATTATAACGCATAATTAAAATTCAAGAATACTTATGTACTGTACATAGTAAAAATTCGGCGAATAAAAATTTAAAACATAATGGAAATTCAAAAATTAAAATTAGGTACACAATGAAAATTCAAGAATAAAATTATGTACATATAGAAATTCAGCAAACTAAAATTATTTACATAAAATAAATACGAGAAATTAAAATTATATACATAATAGAAATTGGGCAAATTAAAATTATTTAGATAAAAGAAATACGATGAATTAAAATTATGTACTTAATAGAAATTAAAATTCAATGAATTAAAATTATGTACATAATAGAAATTTGAAAATTAAAATTATGTACGTAATAAAAATTCGGAAATAAAAATTATGTACATAATAAAAATTCGACAAATTAAAATTATAAACATAATATAATTCACGAATATAAATTTTGTACATAATAAAAATTTGGTGAATTAAAATTATGTACATTACGGAAATTCGGCAAATTAAAATTATATACATAATAAAATTTCGGCGAATTAAATAAAAATAACGCTTCCCAGTCGCGATAGCCCACAACGGTGCAAAAAATAAGTATTATATGTATATATTATTATATATATTATTTATTGCCTATATAAGCAATAAATATATATTATTAATAATATATATATTCTGTTTTTATTTTCTTTACTTTTGTTTATAATGCTGTGTAAAGGAAATTCTAACTGTTAATGAAAAAAAAAAATAAATTGAAATAGAGAAATTAGTAAATAGAAAAAATCGATAATGATTAAAATATAAAACTTAATATACGCCTAAAATGAATTATAAAGATCAAATGTTTAACTCATGTAAGCAATAATTAATATATTATTAATAAACATTTTCTATTTTCTACAATTGCTCTATTATAAATTAGTTTTTTTTATTTACAACTAGAATTCTCCTTTACACAGCTTTATAAACAAAAAATAAACAATAGAAAAATAACAGGTATAACATATTCGTTCTGCACATTTATGCTATTAATATAAAAATATTAAACAAGAAAAATATTTAGTCTTTAAGAAATAATCCTAAAATAATACAATCGACTAATATAATACATAAAATTGGATACCTAATCATCAAATAAATTATGAAGTTCTGCAAGTATTTTACTCGAAAAGCAAGTTTTGCATTGCATAATTCAGAATGCAAACTATCGTTATTTAATTGTGAACAACTATAACCTTTAATATTAGGTGATAGCAAACAGCTCATACGTGATCTTAAAGCCAGGTATTCCCTTAAAAATCTCTATACTTTCTTGTCTGTGGACTACTTGAATTATAATTATGTCTCGACATAATTTTAATTCATCATATTTTATTATGTCTCGACATAATTTTAATTCACCGAATTTTTATTATGTCTGAACATAATTTCAAATCATCGAATTTTTATTATGTCTCCAAAGTGATTTTCATTTCACTAGTAATTGTACGCTTTAGAAAATACAGAAGTTTAAACAAAACTGTCAAATTGATTCTCTTAATATTTCAAAATTTTCGAATTCTGCTACTTCCATAAATATATTTTTCGATTGGGAATGTTCTAAACAATAAGGATCGATTCTAAATACGACTGAGCATTAAAATTTAAAACTTCTTTAAGTTGGTAATTTTTAAATTTTTTTCTTCGAAAGCGACATTGATCTATCTTCGCTTATAGATTTTTATTCGCACTTCGAAATGACGTGTCTTTAATAAATTAACCTAAATGTGGCACCAGAGTTAAAGGAATTAATTTTTAATACGGAAAACAACAGTATTTCGAACGCAAGCCTCGTCAATGTAAAATTCGAAAATTAATATTGTGACCCAACTTTTAAATAAAGCAAATCCGAATACGCAGTATTATTTAATATCGTTTTTAATGGTGGAAGTAATTTTCGTTTCGCTTGTAGTTGCATACTTTCAAAAATACAGCAGTTTAAACAAAACTGTCAGAGATGAATTTTTTCAAATTTCAGGATTTTTAAATTCTGCTTTGTACATCGATGTAACATTCGCAGGCGAATGTCCCGAACCACAAGAAACGATTCTAAACACGACTGAGCATGTATATTTGACATATCTTAAAGCTTGTCACTTTTTAAATTTTTCGCTTCAACATCAAATCGATCTATCTTCGCTTAAAGACTTTGAACGCACTTGAAAATGTGTTTTTAATATATATTAATGTTAATCTGACAGCTGACTATAAGGAATTAATTTTTTAATACCGAAAATGATAGTACGTCGATCGCTCGCGTCGTCAGTCGAAAAATCAAAAGTTCAAGTTTTTCCCCAAATTGAAAATAACGCAAATCCAAATCAGCAGTCTTATTAAGAATCTATTATAGATGTGTGAAGTGAATTTCGTTTCGCTTGTAGTCGCACACTTTAAAAAATACAGCAGTTTAATCAAAACTGTCAAAGATGAATTTTTTCAAATTTCAAGATTTTTAAATTCTGCTTTGTACATCGATGTAACATTCGCAGGCGAATGTCCCGAACCACAAGAAACGATTCTAAACACGACTGAGCATGTATATTTGACATATCTTAAAGCTTGTCACTTTTTAAATTTTTCGCTTCAACATCGAAATCGATCTATCTTCGCTTAAAGACTTTGAACGCACTTGAAAATGTGTTTTTCATATATATTAATGTTAATCTGACAGCTGACTATAAGGAATTAATTTTTTTAATACCGAAAATGATAGTACGTCGATCGCTCGCGTCGTAAGTGAAAAAATCAAAAGTTCAAGTTTTTCCCCAAATTTAAAATAACGCAAATCCAAATCAGCAGTCTTATTAAGAATCGTTAATAGATCTGTGAACTGAATTTCGTTTCGCTTTAAATCGCACACTTTATAAAATACAGCAGTTTAAACAAAACTGTCAGTAATGAATTTTTTCAAATTGAAAATAACGCAAATCCAAATCAGCAGTCTTATTAAGAATCATTTATAGATGTATGAACTGAATTTCGTTTCGCTTTAAGTCGCACACTTTAAAAAATACAGCAATTTAAACAAAACTGACAAAAATAAATTTTTTCAAATTGAAAATAACGCAAATCTAAATCAGCAGTCTTATTAAGAATCGTTTCTAGATGTGTGAACTGAAATTCGTTTTGCTTTAAATCGCACACTTCATAAAATACAGCAGTTTAAACAAAACTGTCAAAAAAATTTTTTCAAATTGAAAATAACGCAAATCCAAATCAGCAGTATTATTAAGAATTGTTTATAGATATGTGAACTGATTTCGTTTCGCTTTAAGTCGCACACTTTAAAAAATACAGCAGTTTAAACAAAACTGTCAAAATAAATTTTTTCAAATTGAAAATAACGCAAATCTAAATCAGCAGTCTTATTAAGAATCGTTTATAGATGTGTGAACTAAAATTCGTTTCGGTTTAAGTCGAACACTTTAAAAAATATAGCAGTTTAAACAAAACTGTCAGAAATAATTTTTTCAAATTAAAATAACGCAAATCTAAATCAGCAGTCTTATTAAGAATCGTTTATAGATGTGTGAACTGAAATTCGTTTCGCTTTAAATCGCACACTTTATAAAATACAGCAGTTTGAACAAAACTGTCAAAAATGAATTTTTTCAAATTTCAAGATTTTTAAATTCTGCTTGCTACATCGATGTAACATTCGAAGGCGAATGTCCCGAACCACAAGATACGATTCTAAACACGACTGAGCATGTGTATTTGACATATCTTAAAGCTTGTCACTTTTTAAATTTTTCGCTTGCACATCGAAATCGATCTATCTTCGCTTAAAGACTTTGAACGCACTTGAAAATGTGTTTTTAATATATATTATTGTGAATCTGACAGCTGACTATGAGGAATTAATTTTTCAAAACCGAAAATGATAGTAAGTCGATCGCTCGCGTCGTCAATAGAAAAATTAAAAGTTTCAAGTTTTTCCTCAAATTGAAAATAACGCAAATCCAAATCAGCAGTCTTATTAAGAATCGTTTATAGATATGTGAACTGAAATTCGTTTCGCTTTAAGTCGCACACTTTAAAAAATACAGCAGTTTAAACAAAACTGTCGAAATGAATTTTTTCAAATTTCATGATTTTTAAATTCTGCTTTCTACATCGATGTAACATTCGAAGGCGAATGTCCCGAACCACAAGATACGATTCTAAACACGACTGAGCATGTGTATTTGACATATCTTAAAGCTTGTCACTTTTAAATTTTTCGCTTCAACATCGAAATCGATCTATCTTCGCTTAAAGATTTTGAACGCACTTGAAAAGGTGTTTTTAATATATATTAATGTTAATCTGACAGCTGACTATAAGGAATTAATTTTTTTTATACCGAAAATGATAGTACGTCGATCGCTCGCGTCGTCAGTCGAAAAATCAAAAGTTCAAATTTTTCCCCACATTGAAAATAACGCAAATCCAAATCAGCAGTCTTATTAAGAATCGTTTATAGATATGTGAACTGAAATTCGTTTCGCTTTAAGTCGCACA